TCATTTAGCAGTGAACTGCAAATAAACTAACGACTATATGCTGCAAGGTATAGTCTCAGTGGGACCGCACTCGCTTGGTTCGAGTCCTACCTTATAAACCAGCAGCACTACATTTCTGCAAATGGCTTTTCTTCTGGCTTACACCCGGTCATCTGTGGGGTAACCCAAGGATCTATCCTTGGCCCCCTCCTCTTCCTCATCTATATGCTCCCTCTCGGTGATGTCATCCACAGACATAGGGTTAACTTCCATATGTATGCGGATGACACTACGTTTCCACCTCCAGCTGCGACCCCAGGCCCCGATGTTCTGTCAGCATGTCTGTCGGACAAGAGCTAGATGAGCGCAAATTTCCTGCAGTTAAACATCAACAAGACGGAAGCCATTCTCTTTGGCTCCCATCGACGTCTTCTGTCCCACGGTTCCGACCTCCTCAACCTACCCGACCTGCCTTAAAACTCTCTGAACCCGTGCGCAACTAAGGAGTCAGGTTTGATTCCAGTCATCCTTCCTCCCCCACATCCGGCCCTGACCAGCACCACTTTCTTCCACCTCCGCCACATTGCCCGTCTCCGATAATACCTCACCCCAAAAGCTGACGAAACCCTTGTCCAGGCCTTTGTCATCTCTCGGCTGGACTACTCTAACACCATCCTTGCCGGTCTCCCCTCCTCCACTATTCACAAAATTCAGCTCATTCAAAACTCCGCCGCCCGCTTTCTCACCCGCACCAACCTCCGCAACCTGATGACTCCAGTCCTTGCCAAACTCCACTGACTCCCTTTCACAGAGCGGATCGACTTCAAGATCCTCACTCTAGTGTTTAAATCCCTCTATTCCTTGGCACCCCGCTATCTCTCTAACCTCCTCTCTCCCCACAGCAGTACCCGCTGCCTCTGCTCTACTGGGTCCGGCCTTCTCCATGTCCCCCAAATCCTCTTCTCCACCATCGGAGGCCATGCATGCCTTCAGCCACTACGCCCCAAAACTTTGGAACTCCCTCCCTCAACTGCTTCGCCTCGCCCCTTCCTTCCCCATCTTCAGGTCACGCCTGAAGATGTTTCTCTTCAACCTAAATTTCACTCACTCTGCCACCAGTGTGCGATAAACTCACTCGCAACCAGCAGGTGGGCGCTGCTCCCACTCTGTCCACCACCTGGACCTCCTTGGTGGGAGGTAAGTGGGGTCTCCTTGGTGCTGAACTGGCTCCAAGGTGACATGCCTGGCAATGGAATGGCGAAATTGAGCCGGCCCTCTGTGACGGTCTCTAGTCCGGTTCCTGAGCCTGGCGGGTTCGCAGTATTCCAGGGCACTGCTGATGACAACACAGCCAGCCTGGCTCATCGGCAGGACCTGCAAGGGCAGATCAGTCACTGGGGACAGGGAGTCATCCCACTCAGCTCCTGTTAACCCTATAAGCCAAAGCCCTAATGGCTAGGCTGGTCTGTGAAATTGGGTTCAAGCGATTTTGTCAGAAACCACATCAAGGATATCATTAAAACGTTTTATTAGCAATTATAAAACAAACACATGCATAAGCATCACATTGCACCCAATGCATTATCATAACTCATCGTGCTTAAATGACTACAAAAGCACTATCGTAACAAGATATACTCAATACTAAAATTCTAAACATAAAGGAATACGTTTTTATACATGAGATGTGCGTAAATAATACCTAACTGTTTCGTATGTATGTTGGGTGCATGTTTTAGTAAGTGGGAGAGATACTACCGAGCAGGCAGGAAGTTGTGACGAGGCTCTCAGGCTGGCACAGGAGGTAAACAAACCACTGTCTTGGGCTTCCTTCTGACTGCAAACATCTCTTTGAGGTCCACTCCGTAGAGGTTCATTCCTTTCATCTCCTCAGAGGCTCCTAACTTCTAATTTTGGCTTCCGATTTTTATACTCTTTTTTGCCGGCTATCTAGTGTTCCAAACTCCTTTTTTTCTCATGACTTCTTTGCTAATCCCTGCACTTTTCCCAGGCATTCTTTCCTTATCTTCAAGTTGTTTCTCCTTGCACAAGCTCGTGGTATCTTCTGCAAAAGAACAATACTCCTATTTATTCCATCTTATCTAGCCCGACCAGACCGCCCAACTCCATGTCCCTGAATAATAATAATAATAATAATAATCCTTGCATTTGATATAGCGCTTTTCACGTCGGGAGGACGTCCCAAAGCGCTTCACAGAACACACTGTAAAGTGAATTGACTGTATATTTGTGGGCGAACGCGGCAGCCAATTGCGCACAGCAATGTCCCACAAACAGTCGTAGATTGAAAATGACCAATTTATTATTGTTTTGTTTTTTTGGAGGGATTATTATTAGGCGTGTGGAGTAAGGAAACTTGCCCAAGGTTTCGCCCTCTGCCTGGAATTGAACTCAGGTCTCTCACTTGCAAAGCGAGTGCTCTAACCACTGAGCTACAGGACTGAAGTTTCAGTCCTCCTTTCTGACTCTGTCCGTGTGACCTGCTGACTTTAAGCTTTCTCTCAGTTTTTAATTGCTGATTTTGTATACCTGCCCAGATGGCTTCCCATCCATTCTCCTGGTCCAATTATCCTTATCTTCCCATCTCTCCCGCCCATAGGTCACATTCCAGTGTACTCCTGCCTAGCTCGGTGTTTCTTTGCTTGGACTGTGTGTGTGTGTGTGTGTGTGGGTGTGTGTTGCATGCCACATGGCAGTTTTTATTTTTGATTCCTTCTACTTAATTCATCTACTCACTGCATGATCAATACTAATGATTCTTATATTATAATTTCAGCTATTTACCCCAACGGGTCTCCAAGCCTTGGGTCTTGCCAACCTGCTCCTAAAACTGCCTGGAGCCCATTGCTCAGCGGTTAGAGCACTCGCCTCGCCAGCGAGAGACCTGGGTTTGATTCCCAGCCGGGCCGAACACTGGGCAAGTTTCTTCACTCCACACGCCCCCCGTTTACCTCTGTTTGCAGTTAAGTAGGAACCCGGTTGTTAGTCGATTGGTAGATCGCTTTTCCGGGGGTAAGAATTCCTTCCAAAAAAGAATAATACTTTCTGGGATGAGGTAAACGGGAGGCGTCCCTCCAGGGAGAGAGTGCGCATTCCATTCCTACAATCTGTCTGTGGGATTTCCGGGTGTGGTGGGATGATTGGAATTCTCAGTCCGGTTTGGGTACTCTTAAGCACAGGGATGGGTTTCCATGTGTGTCGGACACTCGGGTGATCAAAAATAAACACCAGGGGCGCTGCTCTCACCCCCTCCACCACCAGGGGCGCTGCTCTCACCCCCTCCACCACCAGGGGCGCTGCTCTCACCCCCTCCACCACCAGGGGCGCTGCTCTCACCCCTCCACCACCAGGGCGCTGCTCTCACCCCTCCACCACCAGGGGCGCTGCTCTCACCCCCTCCACCACCAGGGGCGCTGCTCTCACCCCCTCCACCACCAGGGGCGCTGCTCTCACCCCCTCCACCACCAGGGGCGCTGCTCTCACCCCCTCCACCACCAGGGGCGCTGCTCTCACCCCCTCCACCACCAGGGGCGCTGCTCTCACCCCCTCCACCACCAGGGGCGCTGCTCTCACCCCCTCCACCACCAGGGGCGCTGCTCTCACCCCCTCCACCACCAGGGGCGCTGCTCTCACCCTCTCCACCACCAGGGGCGCTGCTCTCACCCTCTCCACCACCAGGGGCGCTGCTCTCACCCTCTCCACCACCAGGGGCGCTGCTCTCACCCCCTCCACCACCAGGGGCGCTGCTCTCACCCCTTCCACCACCAGGGGCGCTGCTCTCACCCCTCCACCACCAGGGGCGCTGCTCTCACCCCCTCCACCACCAGGGGCGCTGCTCTCACCTTCTCCACCACCAGGGGCGCTGCTCTCACCCTCTCCACCACCAGGGGCGCTGCTCTCACCCTCTCCACCACCAGGGGCGCTGCTCTCACCCCCTCCACCACCAGGGGCGCTGCTCTCACCCCCTCCACCACCAGGGGCGCTGCTCTCACCCCTTCCACCACCAGGGGCGCTGCTCTCACCCTCTCCACCACCAGGGGCGCTGCTCTCACCCCCTCCACCACCAGGGGCGCTGCTCTCACCCTCTCCACCACCAGGGGCGCTGCTCTCACCCCCTCCACCACCAGGGGCGCTGCTCTCACCCCCTCCACCACCAGGGGCGCTGCTCTCACCCCCTCCACCACCAGGGGCGCTGCTCTCACCCCCTCCACCACCAGGGGCGCTGCTCTCACCCCCTCCACCACCAGGGGCGCTGCTCTCACCCTCTCCACCACCAGGGGCGCTGCTCTCACCCCCTCCACCACCAGGGGCGCTGCTCTCACCCTCTCCACCACCAGGGGCGCTGCTCTCACCCCCTCCACCACCAGGGGCGCTGCTCTCACCCCTCCACCACCAGGGGCGCTGCTCTCACCTTCTCCACCACCAGGGGCGCTGCTCTCACCCTCTCCACCACCAGGGGCGCTGCTCTCACCCCCTCCACCACCAGGGGCGCTGCTCTCACCCCCTCCACCACCAGGGGCGCTGCTCTCACCCACTCCACCACCAGGGCGCTGCTCTCACCCTCTCCACCACCAGGGGCGCTGCTCTCACCCCCTCCACCACCAGGGGCGCTGCTCTCACCCCTCCACCACCAGGGGCGCTGCTCTCACCCCTTCCACCACCAGGGGCGCTGCTCTCACCCCCTCCACCACCAGGGGCGCTGCTCTCACCCTCTCCACCACCAGGGGCGCTGCTCTCACCCCCTCCACCACCAGGGGCGCTGCTCTCACCCTCTCCAACACCAGGGGCGCTGCTCTCACCCCCTCCACCACCAGGGGCGCTGCTCTCACCCCCTCCACCACCAGGGGCGCTGCTCTCACCACTCCACCACCAGGGGCGCTGCTCTCACCCCCTCCACCACCAGGGGCGCTGCTCTCACCCTCTCCACCACCAGGGGCGCTGCTCTCACCCCCTCCACCACCAGGGGCGCTGCTCTCACTACTTAGCGGAAGTGACCTCTGGCAATACGTTTACCCGGAAGTGACGCAGTGTCTGGCGGAGACTCTCGGGGTCGCGATGACGACGTTGCGAGCGTTCTGCTGCGATGATTTGTTCCGATTCAACAACATGTGAGAGACCTGAACTAACCCCGAGATCACCAGCAATAACTAACCATAACCAGGGCCCAGGCACACAGCCAGTCTGAGCTGCCAGAGAGAGAGAGAGTCAGTGAGTGTGAGTGAGTGTGAGAGTGAGTGTGAGAGTGAGTGAGTGTGAGAGTGAGTGAGTGTGAGAGTGAGTGTGTGAGTGAGTGAGTGTGAGAGTGAGTATGTGAGAGTGAGTGAGTGTGAGAGTGAGTGAGTGAGAGAGTGAGTGTGTGAGAGTGAGAGTGTGTGAGTATGTGAGAGTGAGTGTGTGAGAGTGAGTGAGTGTGAGAGTGAGTATGTGAGAGTGAGTGTGAGAGTGAGTGAGTGTGAGAGTGAGTGAGTGTGTGTAAGTGAGTGTGTGTAAGTGAGTGAGAGAGTGAGAGTGAGTGAGTGAATGTGAGAGTGAGTGAGAATGAGTGAGTGTGAGAGTGAGTGAGTGGGAGAGTGAGTGAGTGTGAGAATGAGTGAGTGAGTGTGTGAGCGTGAGTTAGAGTGAGTGTGTGTGAGAGAGTGAGAGTGAGTGTGAGAGTGAGTGAGTGGGAGAGTGAGTGAGTGTGAGAATGAGTGAGTGAGTGTGTGAGCGTGAGTTAGAGTGAGTGTGTGTGAGAGAGTGAGAGTGAGTGTGAGAGTGAGTGAGTGGGAGAGTGAGTGAGTGTGAGAATGAGTGAGTGAGTGTGTGAGCGTGAGTTAGAGTGAGTGTGTGTGAGAGAGTGAGAGTGAGTGTGTGTGAGAGTGTAAGAATGACAGAGTATGTGAGAGTGAGTGAGTGAGAGTGAATGAGGGTGAGTGTGAGAGTGAATGAGAGTGAGTGTGAGAGTGTGTGTGCGTGTGTGAGAGTGAGTGTGTATGTGAGTGAGTGTGTGTGAGAGAGTGAGAATGAGTGAGTGTGAGGGTGAGTGAATGAGGATGAGGGTGAGAGTGAGTGAGAGTGTGAGAATGAGAGAGTGAGTGTTTGAGAGCGAGTGTGAGTGAGTGAGTATGTGTGTGAGGGTGAGTGAGTGAGTGTGAGAGTGAGTGAGTATGTGTGAGAGTGAGTGAGAGAGAGACGGAAGGGAGGGGGGAGCGCAGTAACAGAGTGAGGCAGAGGGACAGTGGGAGACGGGGATGTTGAATCACGGAGAGTGCACACAGAACCACATGAAACATACCCGGCCATGAATGATGGAATCATACACAGCGTAAGATACACTCAGTGAGGGAGAGAGACTCACAAGGGAAAAAATGCACAGAGCGATGTACAGTACCAGAGAATGAGGAACATATATCCAACTCCCTAACTTATGAAGAGTTAATGTAAGGAATACTTGATCTCAAGTTACAGAGTGATAAAGTTAGCAAACAAATGTGTGAGTAACAGAGAGAAAAGCAAATATCCAGCTCCTAATAAAAGAGCAAGTAATATGAACCAGTGCGCACTGATTTTTGTTTTTTCCTTTCCAGAAATTTGGATCCACTTACAGAAACTGTATCCTTGTGATGGCCCACGAGTGTGGTGTTAGAGATTCTACAATTAAATAAATCATTTGTGTTTGTCAATATTTTAGACCGTTCTGCTTAGCCTGGCACAGGTGTCTTCTGGTTATATGCTATTTTTAGGTATTTCAGGAGTTTCTAAGGTTGTACTAAAGTCTAAACGTAATGCCCGCTGAGTTCCCTTTGTTCACAATTTGCATCGTCTCTTCAGAAAACTACAGTAAATTTGTCATGCTTGATCTGCTTCCCATAAAGTCAACATGACCCCCTGTTACAGTGCTATGTTTCTTTATAATCTCTCCTTCAAGATGTGCTCTATTATTTTCTCTTCAACAGATTTAAGATTTGTTGGCTTGCCTTATATTTAAGTTGCTGGCCTGATCCATTCTTCCCTTTCCCTTCTTATGTTTCTGCTCCCAATTTTCCCCTTGTCTGTTTGCCAAATATTTTTTTCAGTGAGTCAAACGGGCATTGTAAATTCTAAGAAATATTGTCCTATGATGTTTTGCTTTTGTGATTTTCCTTAAGTAATTTTTAAAGTATGGGATCCCCTTCTATCTCCAATACTTGGCTCATTGGCCGGAGTATTTTATTGTTGCTGAGGCGCCTGGAGGAGAGTTAATGGGCTACAGTAAGATTACAGCTTTTTATTATGATCATTGATTTTACAAACGTTCACTGTTATACTAACTTGATGTTAATGAGATAGGATATGTTTTAAATAACGTAATGTTTGTTATATGTTTAACTAACAATGCTGATAACAATAACAGTGCTGATGCCCATAACACGTATTTGTTATTGGTGTGATCGTTTGTATTGAACTATTGCCAGTGAATGTCGTTTTTGACTTAATGAGAGTAGCTTTCTGATGTGCTGTGTCAGGAATGAAATTAACTGGAAGAGAATGACTTGTGTAATGATGCTTTGCTTCAGCTGTAAGGGGCCTGATGTATCATGTGCATTTCTAGTGCTGGTAAGGGTTCATCAAATAAGCTGTTTCGTAAAGTCAGAAATCTTACTAACAGGCAAACATGAGCAGACTTGTGTGTTTGTGTATAAATCATTGCAGAAAGAGTTCTACTTTCTTGATTCAAGAGTAGTAGCAGTATAACCCCAGACGCTATTCTCAGATATTCTCCTTGTAATACATTATCTTTGAAATTGTAGTTTGTGTTTCCACAATGTTGCAAGAGGTAGATAAATGATATTTACCTGTGTACCTATGTCTTGCTGATTGCGGTTGAAATCTTCTTGTCAACAGCAAATCTTAATTATGAGTCTAATTATGAGCTGTCTGCACAAACTGCTTTTCCTCCCGCTCTCACCCGGTTACCTGCGGGGTACCCCAAGGATCCATCCTTGGCCCCCTCCTCTTTCTGATCTACATGCTCCCTCTTGGGGATGTCATCCTCAGACATGGGGTACACTTCCACATGTATGCGGACGGCACCCAACTCTATTTTTCCACCTCACTTTGCGACCCCCAGTCCCCTGATGTTCTGTCAGCCTGCCTGTCAGACATCAGGAGCTGGACGAGCGCGAATTTCCTTCAGCTAAACGTTGACAAGATGGAAGCCATACTCTTTGGCACTCATCAACGTCTAAAATCACATGGGTCTCACCTCCTACACCTACCCGACCTCCCCCTAAAGCTCTCCGAACCCGTACGCAACCAGGCGTCAGGTTCGACCCCCAATTATCCTTCCTCCCCCACATCCGGTCCCTCACCAGCACCGCTTTCTTTCACCTCAGACGAATCGCCCGTCTCCGCCAATAACTCACTCCAAAAACCACTAAAACCCGGTCCATGCCTTTGTCACCTCTCGGCTGGACTATTCAAATGCCCTCCTCGCTGATCTCCCCTCCACTACCATCCATAAAATCCAGGTCATACAAAACTCTGCCGCCCGCGTTCTTACCCGCACTGAACTCCGCTCCCCGATCACCCCAGTCCTTACCAGACTGCACTGGCTGCCTGTCCCAGAGAGGATCAACTTCAAGATCCTCACCCTTGTCTTCAAATCCCTCCACTCCTCTGCACCCCCCCTCTCTGACTTCCTCTCTCCTCAAAACAGTGCCCATTGCCTTCTCTCCACTGGGTCAGGCCTCCTCCTTGTCCCCTAAATCCTCCGTTCCACTATCAGTGGCCATGCTCTTGAACTCCCTTCCTCACCCCCTTCGCCTCGCCCCCTCTCTTCCTAATTTCAGGTCTCAGCTGAAGACCTTTCTTTTCGACCGCGCCTTTGGTCACCTTCCTCCCCCTCCCCCCGGCTCGGCCCCGGGATGCGTTACTGTGAAGCGCTCTGAGACGCCGTCCGGCGTGGAGGGCACTATATGAATCCAAGTTGTTGTTGTTGTTGTTGTTGACCAATATCGTGTCAATAGGTCATGTTCTCCCAGAATTGTCACCAGTGAACAAGCCGCAGCTTGACCATTCAAAAATTAGTCTGCATACAAAGACGCAGAATACTTAATCAGAATTTCCAAGGCAGAGAAACAAAAGCTAGGTAATTGGTGGCTTGTGGACAGTGAGTAACGAGAAATGTCCTAATGTCTATCTGGGCACCAACTACACAAAAGATCTTCTGCAAAATGGCATGTGACTATTAAATTCAATTTTAATTGGATTTGGTGTTGAGAAGGAATGAGTGTACAAGTAGGTTAGAACATTGTCTTTTTACATTTGAGTTGCAGGTCTGACTCGCAACCTATACTGAAGAAAGTTAGTTCTCGTCCAGGTGAGATGTATGAGGGCTCCGCCACTGTCTCATCCTGGATGAGAGCTAACTTTCTTCAGTTGAACGTCAACAAGACCGAGGCTCTCCTATTTGGCTCCTGTCAGCGCCTCCTCACCTCAGGCACTGACAGCATCACCATCCGTGGTTGCACACTCCACCTTGCTAAGCCAGTCTGGAACCTTGGGGTCTTGTTTGACCCTCAACTATCCTTTCTGTCCCACATCTGCTCCATGAGCCACTCTGCCTTGCCCCACCTCCGCAAAGTCGCCCGGCTCCAGCACTGTCTCACACCGCAAGCCGCCGAATCCCTCATACACGCCTTCATTACATTGAGGCTCGACTATGCAAACTCATTGCTTGTCGGCCTCCCCAACTCCTCCCTCCACAGACTGCAAATCATCCAAAACTGCAGCATATGTCCTCTCCCGCACCAGGCTCCACCACCCTATCACCCCCATCCTCGCCCAACTTCACTAGCTTCCCATCACACAGAATACAGTTCAAGATCCTGATTCTCACCTTCAAAGCCCTCCATGGTCTTGCTCCGCCCTACCTCTGTGACCTCCTAAAACCCTACCATCCTTTTCGCTCCCTTCGCTCAACATTATGTATGGTGGGTTTGTAAAGTGCAATGAGCAGCTTTGTTTGATGTGAAATTGATGTGAAGTGCATTAGTAAGGATTCATATATATAAACTGCTTTACAAGTGTTTCTTCTCTTAAGTTATGGGAAAAGCTGAAGGATCAGTGGCACGAGAGGAATGGCATGGACACGTAACTGCTTTATCTGTAGCTCCAGAATTCCGACGTTTGGGACTAGCTGCTAAACTTATGGAACTCCTAGAGGAAATATCTGAGAGGTTAGTGAAAGTTCTTTGAACACGTCACAGTACTAAAATTCTCATCAGCATGTCACAAGTATTGTATACTGACTATCATTGTTCACGTCACAGACGACAATTACAAAGCATTACAGACATTGTGATCAAACCCTTAATGGGTAAATGTACAGCATAATATAGAAGAGATCTTTACAAACTAATAACCTTTGAGGTCTGCTCTGACATAGGGCAAATGGCCTTAGCATTCTGAGTGTGGGAGGGAGGGAGGGAGGGAGAGCGAGCCAGCCAGTGGACCAGAGATCCCACTTTGGGATTATTGCTCTTTAAACAGGCTCAGCTGTGATATGTCCAGAATCAACCAACTCATCAAAACTCTCCAACGTGTACGAAGAGCAGCTGCTTAATGTGTTACCTTAAGTGGAGTCCTGTAGCTCAGTGGTTAGAGCACTTGCCTCGCAAGCGGTTTGCTTCCCGGCAGGGTGAAATGTTTGGCAGGTTTCCTTACTCCACGCGCTTGTTTACTTCACAGTAAGTAGGAACCCGGTTGTTAGGACCGATTGTCGGATCGCTATTTCAGGGATAATAATCCCTCAAAAAAAAATAATTTGGTCACTCAATCCGCGACAGATTGTGGGACACTGCTGTGCGCATTTGGCTGCTGCGTTTCGCCCACAAATATAGTCGATTCACTTTACAGTATATTCTGTGAAGCGCTTTGAGACATCTAGAAGACGTGAAAGTGCTATATCAAATGCAAGGATTATTTTTATTATGTTTTCTCTGTTACAGAAAAGGTGGATTCTTTGTGGATCTCTTTGTTCGAGTTTCCAATCAGGTGGCAGTGAACATGTACAAACAGCTTGGTTACAGTGTCTATAGGACGGTGATAGAGTACTACTCAGCCAGCAATGGAGAACCTGATGAAGACGCTTATGGTATGACCTATACATTCTGCCTGATGCATGTTAACTGCATAAATGAGATTGCATTTGTCCTTTTCAGCCACAAATCTCGTAGATGAAATGTTAAACAGAGATCCTGTCTGCCTGTTCAGTTAGACATTAAGATCCCATGCAATTATTTGAAAAGAGAAAGGAGTTTCTCTCTGCATCCTGTCCAACAATCCCCCAGAAAATATTAGTCATTTGTTTATGTGGGACATTGCTCTGTGCAAATTGGCTGATGAGTTTGTCAACTGATATCAGTCAATACACTTCACAGAAACGTTGTGAAGCAGTTTGAGATATTTCAACAACATAATTGGGTGCAATATCAAATGCAAGGATTATTTATTATTTTATGTTGATGATTAAAATTATCAAATTATTTTTCAGTGTCATTATCTTGTAAATTTAAAGCATTCACAAGTCATTACTTTAAGAAAATATTATGTGCTATATTTTCTGATGTTCAGGAGGCCGGACAAGGAAATGTGGGAAGTTCAGAGTGGAAATTGTTTGGATTTTGGTCAGGTTTAAGAAAGGTGGCTATTTAGCTAATCTGCTTCTATAGCAATATTAAGACATCCATTCACCAATAGCGAGGAATCTTGCATTTATGTACAGCCCTGAGATCTATCCCACTCAACTTTTGGGTTGCTCTGGTCGGGTATATCTGAGGAAAGGCTACGTTTGGATTGGATTACTGTTATAAGGCAAATTCTTTAGGTATTCCAGATTGTCTGAAAATGTTTGGAGAATTGTGTTATGCACCTGAACAATTGTCGTTTTAACTACTGAGAGACAGGAGGACCTCATTATAACATGGTGCTCTGCGTCCAATAGCCGAGGCGATGATAAAATGAGTTGGCTCATCAGATCACTGATGTTGCTGTTCAACATAACAACAAATTGGATTTATATAGCACCCTCCATGCCGGACACTGCCTCAGAGCGCTTCACAGTAACGGATCCCAGGGCCGAGCCAGGGGGAGGGGGAGGAAGGTGACCAAACGCACGATCGAAAAGGTCTTCAGCAGAGACCTGAAAATAGAAAGGGGGGGAGCGAGGCGAAGGGAGTGAAGAAGGGAGTTCCAGAACTTCGGGGCATAGTGGCTGAAGGGTGGAGCAGAGGATTCGGGGGATATCATGTGCATGGACATCACTTCCTTTGTTAATGGTGTGTTTCTTGTGCAGAGCGTGTAAGATATAACCTGGTGACTGGAAGTGGGCCATATTTTATTGTGGGTATCTAAGTGTATTGTATTTCTGGTTCAACAGACTTACAAGGGACGTAGCACTTTTACAGGAGGCACTAAACCAGGATTCCCCTTTAACCAGTTGTTGTATTTCTAAAAGTACGAGCTTTTTTAAGAATTGATTTTGTTTTTGTTTTTAAAAACAGATATGAGAAAGGCCCTTTCCAGAGATACAGAGAAGAAATCAATAATACCTCTTCCTCATCCAGTAAGACCTGAAGATATTGAATAACTTTAAGCTGTGGTTCTTGGTTTATGTTTATTTAAGAATCTCAATTAATATTAACTATTCTTAAAAAGTATGGTTGTGTTTAGTTTGTGTACATAATGCTTAAATTATATTTCAGACAATTGAGAAAGTTTGATGCCCACTTTGATACATTAACCTGATTCCAAGAACCACAGCTTTATTGGAAAATGTTGAGTCTATCATGTTTTTTATTCCCAACAGAAAGTCTTTGAAATGCATTATGAAATCAAATCGTCATAAAAGACTTGTGTAAGATTTGCGTCCCTTTTTTTCTGATGGTGTGCAGCCTTTATTTAATACCTGAAATATGAGTGCAAGGGGAAGAGAAGGAAAGGGAAGGCTGCCAAATAAATTGAGTTAAAATGATGCCATCTTTAAACCTTGATCTTTTGAGCACTTCACATTCACTCTCTGGGATGGAAGAAAATAAATTCTAAGTTTCAACGACTTTTTTTATCAAATATCTAGTCTGACTGCCCTTCTGGCAAAAGAACATGAGGGAAAAATACTTTAATTAAACCATATTGTATTAATCTAAATTGCTTCAACGGTTTAATGCATAGTTCAAAGTTTATGATCCAATGGGCTGTTAACATTGTGGTTGAACATGTCAATATAAAAGACAGTATTTAGTTATGTTACCACCCTGAATGAATGAGTCCAGTTATGTTACTCTAGTGCAATGGCACCTTTTGGCCTTACTCTTCTGCTCCAGGATTCATAAGAACAGCTCCTACATTACCCCTACAGAAGAGACTAAAGGGCCAATAACAATGGAAAATGAAAGTAATATTCACTACTGCATGTTGCGCCATACCTTGGCCTTTTCAGTATTACACCTTTTTTATAATAAAGAGGTGATGAAGGTGTATTACCAGATATCAGTTTATTAATAGCATGGCAGAACACTTTGCTTTTGTAAAGGTTGCTGTCAAATATCATAATTTCACATAGCATACACCAACAAGGAACATTTTCTTGACCAGGGATGGCCAACTTGTGGGCTGCATTATGGTGCGTAAAATAATCACGAGTTGCAAGTTGGCTACCCCTGGTCTGAAACAAGTATATTTTTAAAAGAAAAACACTACCCAATCTGCAAACAAAATACAGTGGTTACAAAAATGTATTTAATGAGTTCACAAAAATAAGAACTTGAAAGTTCACACTTGAAAATATTGTACAAAAATCTGAAGCCATCAGCAAGGGAGGGCAATCTGAAGCAAAAATGCTTCCAACTCAGTAAACTGGGCTGTGGGAGACGAGGTGGCTCTAGTTGTCCACTCATCAGGATTCAGTTTCATCTGCATCTTTGTCTGGTTCTTCCTCATCCTCTTCGTCATCCTGCTGTTGTTTCTTCCAGAGTTTGGCCATAGCCAGCAACCGGAGGTTTGGCTGATTTGCAGAGTCCTCTGGGAATATGTAATCATAATACTCTTCCCAACCAGCATCCGTCTGTCAGCACAGAAAGTAAACATTCATCAAAACGATTTTAACAATTATAATCCTAACATAGACTAATAAAACAGCCAATTACCACAAAATACAATGTGGATACCACATTATTATAATCTAAAATCTAAGTTTCCAGGTTTGTGAGTTCTTTTCAAACTCAACCTGAATTTGAACAAAACTCACCTTTCAAATCTGATCCAACAGCTAATACAATTTAGTTCAGAACTTGACATAGATTGCTCCCCCTTTACCTCATGGTTTTCAGGCTGGACATTTCTCTTGTAGATAACCTAAGCATTCAAGATCTTAAACTGTCGAGCAGCTATGCTAACAGAACATCATGCAAATTTGATACTAGACATTAAACCGAGGTCCCATCTGCCTGTTTGTTCAGGTGGATGTCAAAGATTCCATGGCACTATTTGAAACGAAAAGGGAGTTTCTCCCAGTATCCTGGCCAATAATGCCCCCAAAATATAATTGGTCACTCCATGGTGGTTTGTGGGACATTTATTTTTCAGAATTGTTGATTCACCTGTGCATGTCCAACTTTTTATTCATATTTCCAGTATTCAGTTTATTTTTAATTGCAATTTCAGTCTGGTACATTTTCCAACAATACTTTCATTAGATCACATTTCTCCATTTATTATTTTAGCTCATAATTAGGATATTCTTCATGTAACCTTTTTTGTCCAGACTTGTCAAGAAACATTTCATGCATGTGTTCACATGCAAGTCTTTGAGCAATGCACTTACCCCATCATCTGCCTGCAGCTTTCGCCTCTTCTTCACCCGTTCTGGCATGAGTTTTTCAACTCTTTCTTGCGATGACTCTGTACCAAATTCTACTTCAAAGTCCTTCCAGGACTCCAAGAACATGAGTCGCTCTTCTTTCTCCTCACAGTTCCGCAGAGATCTGTTGGCATCCTCATAGATCTGCCGGCATCTGGTTAACCGGTCTGTGCCTTCCACCGAGAGTTCAAATTGAACATAACTGATCCACACCTATAGAAAACAAAAAACACATTACAGTTCGACAATGCAAAAATGTCAGCCTAATCCTCTCCTCCATTAATAAATCATACAGAAAAGTTTGTATTCAAATGCAAAAAAAGAATACTTGGTGATTATGAAGTGGTATTCTAACAGTCAAGATATTCACATCTATCAGAAGCCATGAGAATGAAGTTTGAGCTGCAAGATAGTATGGTAATATTCCCTGATATTGACAGTTATATTTCGAATTGTTTTATTGTTAATTTCCACCCAAATTTCCTCTACTGAAGTCATCTAATTCCTTGTCCTTCAACCAGGTATGGTTAGTTATCTTGCCTGTTGTGTCAGGAGGGGCATCACAGCCGAATCCAATATCGTTAACCAGACATTTCAGCCACAACTATGCTCTAGACTTTTTTCAATTGAGATTAATTGATACAAGATTATGAAATGACAAATGTGGGTTAAAACAAGAATCCAACTAACTTAATCTTACGAATAGGAAATCTTGTCAGATTATTCACAACATTTCCATTCTTGGATTTATACACATTGTAAAAACACCTTTAAATACCTTAACATGCTGAGTACGTTGAAGCAGGCACCTGTAAAGCTTTCTCGTCCTTTCATATTCTTCCTGTTCAATTTCAAAGTCGATATAGGACTTCCAGAGAACCTGAAAAATGGTTCAAAGGGAACAAAATTATCCAGTTCAAAAATCGCAATTTATGTGTATGGATCAACACCATAAGCAATGCAATACTGACATAATATCTCAAATCAGGATTCTAGTACATTATAATTTACATTTATACTAGCACATTATAATTTACATTTCACATCAGGACATCTCAAAGCATTTGATGCAGCTGGAAGGGCTGGGAGTGGGGAGGGGAAAGACAACCAAAGGCAGTCAAAGAGGCAGGTCTTGAATGAGTGGTGGAAGGCAGCGAATCATAGGTACTCTGGGATGCAGTATCAGAGAGCGGAGGCAGAATTACAAAGCTCACTTGCCGATAGTGGGGTGGATAGGGCGGGCACATGAAGGCTTGCGTTTGCTGAGAGAAGTGAGTGTCTAGGTTTTGTTGAAGGAAGCTGCAGAGGTTAATTGGGCTTAGACAGTGAAGGAACTTAAGGTGAAAATGAGGATCTTAAGCTCAATTTACTGGGGGAATGGGAAGTCAGTAGAGCTGAGCAAAGATGGGGGTGATAGGCTCATTGAGTCTGGGGTGGGAAAGGACATGGGCTGTGTAAGGAAGACCTAGGGAGTCCAGTGACCAGTGTTGGCATAGTGAAGCCTGTATGCAATAAAAGTATGGATGAGGGTCCCGACAGCCCGAGGAGATAGGTAGTGGTGGAAGCAGGCAATGTTTCAGAGACGAGGGAAAGCCGAGCAGCTAACAACAATAACAATAAGCGCCCTTCACACAGGGTAGTATCTTGGAGCGAACACGAATATGGAATTTGAAGGATAGTTGGGAGTCAAACAAGGCAGAAAGGTCCACACTGGCTCTGTGAGTTGGGAGTGTGCATCTGTGGAAATTGACATTGCCAGTTAGCATTTGAGGTGAGAAGAGCTGACAGAAGCCAATCAGGAGAGCTTCTGTCCTGTCAAACTTCAAGAAAGTTAGAACTCATCCAGGACTTCATTTCTGACAGGCAATTTCACTTGAAAGCAACTACAAATTCTGAGTACTCAATTGATATCCACTTGATTACCTTAAAAGTACTTGTTTGATTGTGTAAACAATGAATCAGTTATATAATTAAATATGGCAAAGAAACAAGTTTCCAGAGCTCTAACAGATTGAAAACATGATGTCTTACCTCTGGCATATCTAGTCTTGGTTGGCCGATTGCCAGTTCATATATTGCACGAGCACGTTCAATATCACCAAGGATGGTCTCCAGCTCAGCAAACTTAATCCACGTGGTGCAATTCTCTGGTGAGAACTCGAGGTACTTTTCATAGAGTTTCCTGCACCGGTCAAACTCACGAAGTTGGAGTTCAAGTTCAATGTATCCTTTGAACAGCTTGTTTTTTGGACATTTCCCTATTGCTGTACCCTGAGAAAAAAAGTTACGATTTTTGCATTCAATGGCAGGTGGTCTACTCAGCTCGTATTCTGTGAGTGACAGAAGATTTATCAATCGTGGAATTGCGTCCATAAACTAACAGGAATATCCCTGTTTCATTGGACTAGTGGCTGGCAACGGAATAACACTATTCAATCTCCTTTTTGATCAAAAGTGCACCATTGATCACACAGTGATTACAAGGATTTTTCAAAAAAAAGTTAAAGAGCATTCGAGAAATAGAAAAACTTTTTTTAAAAATGCAATATCTTGCATTGACTATACTCTCATTTGATTACTGATGTCACCTAAATAGGTGAGCAATTAATAAGACCTCCATGGTGGCATAAAAAAAGGCCCAACAGGAATGTTTTGTGATAAAACTATCATAACTTATTCTAACTAAAAGAACTAAATAATAATCCTTACATTTCCTATAGTGCCTTTCACTTCATTTCAGAAGGATGTTTTAACGTGCCTCACAGGATATACTGCAAAGTGGAGTGATTGTGTGTTTTGTGGGTGAATGTGGCAGCCAATTTTGCGAACAGCAATGTCCTACAAACAGCCATGAAGTGAATGACCACGATATTGGGATTGTTCGCCAGGACTTGGGGAGAAACTCCCTTCTCTTTGAAAAGTAAGTAAATGTATGATAAGTATATCACAAAAACGTAACATCACTTACCAAAGCTCTCCTGGCCATAGCCAGACTCTTCTGTCGAACTTCAAACTGTGCATATAACAACCACATTTTGGCAAAGGTGAACTGAAAAGAGTTCAAGACATTAAGACCAATGTTAGTGTAGATACATCAAGAAAGTAATGGTTATTTATTTAGCTGTACCTATTCTAACCACAGATGCCTGCATAAAGAGTCCAGACCAGATTGCCCAGTATTATTCACTGTATTCACTGGCTCCCCATCCCCCAGAGGATCGAATTCAAGATCCTCATCCTTACCTACAAGGCCATTCACGGCCTTCCTCCCTCCTACCTCTCCGACCTACTATCCCCCTAAGTACCTGCCCGTACCCTTCGTTCCTCTGGCTCCGGTCTGCTCCACATCCCCCGCCCCAACCGCCCTACCGTCGGTGGCCGGGCCTTCAGCCTCTCAGCCCCTAGGCTCTGGAACTCCATCCCCCAGTGCCTTCGCCTTGATTCCTCCCTTTCCTCCTTCAAGGCTGGTCTCAAGACCTTTCTCTTCGACCGTGCCTTCAGCTCCCCTCTCGACTCTCTACCCCTCCTCGCTCCCTCCCTTCCCTCCCCTCACCCTGACCATTTCCCCGCTGCTCGGGTCCCAACCCAACTGTCCAGCGCCTTGGGACGTCCTCCCGACGTGAAAGGCGCTCTATAAATGAAATCTTGTTGTTGTTGTTTTGGAAGCCCCACTATATTTTCCAGTGTAGTCAAGACAACATTAGGACTACGACATCACAGTAAAGCTGAGGGCTAAAGTACGCTGAGCACAATCTTTTTATTAAGCCTTTGTAAATGGTATAAAGAATGAGTTAGCAAAAAAAAACTTAGTACAGTACTGATATCACACCAGTATCAAAAATCAATCATCCTAATTAATAAAATAGTTTCAGAACTAGAGAATTGCACCTTTTTGTGGGGAATAAGTTCTAAAGATGCTTGATACACTTGTCTGGTCCTCTCTGGATCCTGTTGAGGAATGAACACCAAAGCTTATTACATACACTATACAACATATTCTCAGAAGCACAAAATGCATATGTGTATATTATGTTGAATAAGATAATATACAAGGGCAGAGCAAAACATTGGACACGTTTCCTTACTCGACACACACACACACACATGACTCTGTTTATCTAGCTGTAAGCAGGAACCCGCTTGTTAGTCGATTGGCGGTTCGCTTTTCTGGGGGGAATAATTCCTTCCCCAAAAAATAATAAGTTTGGTCATTCAGTCCACGAATATTTATGGGACACTGCTGTGCGCAATTGGCTGCCGTATTTCATCCGCAAAATACGCTCACTCCACTTTACAGTGAATTTCATGAAGCGCTTTGAGACGTCTCGAAGACGTGGAAAGGCGCTATATCAAACGCAAGGATTATTATTTATATTATAACAAGCCTGGAAGTTGGGATTAAAAAAAATGTTCTCAACAAAAACGGCAATTGTAACTAATGACAACTGAATTAACTTTACTTCAAAACCTCTTCAATCCAGGTTCTGGAACAGACCATTATTAGATGTAGTTTTCCCTAATACAATTCCTCAGAAAGAAACAACAACTTGCGCTTGTAGGGTGCCCTTCGTGCAGGGTAGCGTCTCAGAGCGCAATGTGACATTCTCCTTTGTCAGTCAGCAAAATAGGCTTATATCATATTAAATCATGTAAGTCAATGAAGGGAGCCTGCTGTCTATCACTATCTACTACAACAGCTCTGCCAGCTCAGAGCTAATACAAAGAGGAACAAGTGTCTTCATCTAATTGTTTTCACAGACCTCCCAGTGGGCAACTTGACAAGAGAACTTCAAGGAACTTGGGAGCAGGTTTCCTAGCCATTCTCTCAGCTATTAAAGGAATGCTGCCTGGGGAAAAGAATGGGGCAAAGAATAAAAAAAAGACTGATTTATTTTAAAGAAAATGATTGCTCATGGAAAGTATGTGAGGGACTGGGAACTATTTTCAAAAGATTAAGTTTACTTGTATGAGTACCTTTGCCTCCAGCTCTTCATACAAGGCATAATTGATCCATAAGTAAATGTATCTCCTCCAGTGCCTCTTTTCCTGAATTGGTGGTACATTGGCTATTGCTCTCTCATACACTTCACGCACAGCATCAGAATCTGCATCACTTTCGACGAGTCGAAGGTAGTCAAACCAGGCATCATAATTATGTGGGTTGGCCTTTCAGGAAACAAACATGAAATCTTGGGTTATCCAAATATGCTTAGTACTTAGTTTTGAAAGTACAGAAATGTGAGCAGTTACTAACTCATTATGCCTTAAATGTTGCCTGCATTCGGTTATTCCCATCCCTACAGATAATCTACAAGAAAGTTATTAAGAATTTAAATTAGTTTTGAAAGAGTACATTACTATTGGAGAATATAAACAGATTTTTCTGTTCCTCCCAGTAAAATAGACCACATAGCAGAACAAAATGTGCTCACACCAGTTCCTCTGAGGAGACCCACACCCCAACAAATACAGTAAAACTTGCACGAGTCTGATCTGTATAAATTGTTTAATTCCCTAAATCGTACATCTGCCCAAGTCCGGTTCAAAAGTTTATAGTCTAAGCAAGTTTGACATAACTCGTACGTTGCATAAGTTATATGTATGGTCCCCACTCATGCAACTTATGAGGTTTACTGTACTACTAAATTCAAACCTGATTTACTTAACAGATCCATTAGCAATTTTATTTATATTTTGAATAATCCTTAATTTACTTTTCATCGAAATGGACAAAGATAAAACGTACCTTGACTTCCTCTTCGTACTGAAAGCGCCTCTTGCTGACGATCACATCTTCAATGCCTCTCCTATCACCAAACTTCTTCTCAAACACTGTGTAGTTTTTGAAGAGCTCTTGAGCTTGCTGCTTTGCAATCCTGTCCAATGCATACTTGTAAATCACCCTTACTCTTTCAAACTAGAAAAGAAATTCAAAGTGGCAATCTAACATGAAGGACTTCATTCAAAGACGATAGAGAAAGGTTTCAATAGATAGGCCAAGTCAAATTGACCCATAAGTTTAGAAGTTGCACAAAAAGCTAGATGTTAATATAAATTGGTAAGGTTTCTTTGCCGACTTTCTTCTCTTTACCTCGAAGATGGTGGCTCATAGGTCCATTGACAGTACTTCATTTAAGGGGCCATTCTTCCCATGTGAGGCTAGATGATGAGCGTTGACGTTTTTGTGACTATAGTGCATCAAAAGAGCCTGATTCTACTTTAACCCATCACCATACATACACTTTCCAGCAGAAAGCAACTGGATCTCTAGCCCAGTGATGCCAAGTCCAATTATAGTTCCGCTACAGCTACTCTGACCGAGATCAGCTAAATCAAAGCAAACTGCAAACTGAACCTTCAGTCTCCTTGCCTATATGGTTTATTATTACCTACTTGGACATGGGAGGAACACCACAAATTGGATGTTCTCCGAGGTTACAGTTTGGGTGCTCTGTCAATACAATACAAAATTACATTAGCATAGCGCCTTTCATGTCAGGAGTTTGAACCTAAACATGTAACAAGACACAAATTTTATCTTGCCTTCAAAAATAAAGAAATCCAGTGTCTTTCTTACTTCTTTCTGGTGCTCCTCGAACCTTGCAAATGCTACAAAAAGCTGTTCGTCCATGTGGTCTTCCCCAAAAAACTCCACTGCTCTTTCATATACTTTCCGTGAATGTCCAATGTAACTGTGCCTTTCTTCAAATCGGGCATATTTAATCCAGTTCTTAATATCCGGGTGGATGGTAACAAGTACAAACAAATTAAGGAAAGCTACTTTTTCATAGAATGCCAGAGCACAGAAACAAACCAGACCATCAAGTCTGCACTGGTGTTTTGTACACATGAAACATCTAAACTAATTCCATTCTCTTGCTCACTCCCCTTAATATTTGTCCTCTTCATGGTAATATGCAATTACAAGTTGAAAGAATGATTACTATCTGATCTTCAAAACATGGTCTTTGCAGCTAGAGAGGAATGCATGGCAACTAGCAACTTTCGAAGAGAATGTATAAAAAATGGTTAATTACGTAAAAACCTTCTCTTCCTAAAATCTTTAAAAGGATATATTTCTCATAAACCAGCCTGGCTCTTTCAACTTCCTTGTATCGGAGTTCAAAGTTGATGTAGGAGTGCCAGGCTTGCTCCTCTGGGTGCCATTCCATCCAGCGCTCGAACACCTGACGTCCACCTGCAACATTTCCCAGCATCTCTTCCATGTATGTGTATTTATACCTGACCACAAAAAAAGCTCTGTTAAAAAAATACATAAGAACAAACTATCCACTGTCAATCGTTCCCGATGACATTAGAAGCACACGACAGGTGCATTTTAAATGCATTTTCATTCTAATGTGTGGAATGGAGAAGCAACACCACGGAGGGCATGGAACATGAGTTTGCACTTGTGTTTGTAATCTGAACCAGGTCACTATGGGGAAGTTCAACACATCATTGGAACAATAATCATAATCATCATCATCCTCATATTTGAACACTTTCCCACATGAAGGCATAAATAAATTATGGTTGGGAGGGGGAGTTAAAGTTACTCTGTGGTATCTCCTAGAAGTATGTCACAGTAACACCAAGAGAAGCCTGGCACAAGTCATTTGCTTTGATTAAACAGCATCACGAATAAAAAAAAATTAGTGAGCCGTTATCATTCATATATTTTTTGTAAACCTACCAGAACTGGTTGACCCTGGGCAGGATGGTAACAGCTCGATCCCAGATGTTGCGGGCATGATTAATCTGTCGGTTCTTCATTTCCATCTCTGCATACTTCAACCAGAGGGTGATATTTCTGTGATCGACATCTAAAGCACGCTCGTAAATCGAACGTGCTCTTCAGGGATACGAGCAGAACATTTAACATAAGAGTGAGAAGAATAAAATAACTTTTTACTATTAATTTAGATTAAATTAAATTTTAGTTTATTTTTCTAAATATTATACACAATTTTCACAAAAAAAATCTTAAAGCAGTTACCGTTGTATTTCTTTGAGGCTCTCCTCCCATTGTGCGTACTTTATCCAGTTACTAATAACAGTCCGATTTTTCCGTATGTTGTCTTCAAACGTCTTTTTACATATGGGATAAATTATGCAAGGAACATTAAAGCAACTTAAATCCAGCTAAAATAAATCTCATTTATTACACTATTCTGCAAAATGGATACAAAGCACAAATATCACAAAGTACAATACTTTTCTTTTTCTTAGCTTGTAGTCATTTAGTTCCTCTTCATCAGTGATCTTCTGGGTAGGAGGTGGAGGAAGGAGCTCAAGCTCTCGTTCTTTTGCTTCTCTCAGCAGTTGTTCCGCTGTAATTTGTAATTCGGCGGGTGCTTTATTTTTCACCTACGGAGAAACCCAAACAAAGTCAATTGGAGGTACCCATCCAAATACAGTTGAGGTTAAAGAATTCACATTTTGTTTTTAAAAAAAATAAAGCTTGGAGCTTTCAGGGTAAAATTAACTGTGCTTTTAACATGTGTGTATACATATATATATATATATACACACATGTTGAAGTATTGCCACATGTTCTGGTCATTTATCAGAGGAAAACTATTTTTGCTTTTGCAAAACAGAGAACAACTCGCTGTAGTTGAACTGCCTGTTGTGTTTGCGTACGCAACAAGAACAACAAGATCATATTTGTATAGCGCCTTTCACGTAGGGAGGACAGTGTACAGCATTTCAGACCCGAGCTGGGGTCAGTGGGGGGAAAAGGGAGGGGATGGGGAGTGGCCGATGGCATGGTCGAAGAGGAGGGTCTTGAGGTGGGATTTGGAGGAGGAGAGGCAGAGTGATTGGGGGATGTAATTTCAGAGGTTAGGGGCAGAGTGGCTGAAGACTCTCCCGCCAATGGTGGGCTGGCAGACGTGGAGCAGGCCGGAGCTGGCTGAGCAGAGGGAGCGGGCGGGTTGGTTGGGTGTTAGGATGTCGCAGAGATAGGGTGGGGCGAGACCATGGAGGGCTTTGTAGGTGAGGACCAGGATCTTGAACTGGATCCTTTGAAGGATAGGGAGCCAATGGAGTCGGGCAAGAATGGGGGAGATAAATGACCAGAACATGTCACGGAGTTTGGTGCGGGAGAGGACACAGGCTGCGTATATACGTACACATAGTCAATACACACTTCAAATATCTTTGTGAAAGGTTTTGAAGCTGACTCTATGGGTGAGAATTACTGTTAGTATTATAAAGTTAATCCACTCATGGCTAGTTATGACATAGATGTACCACTCACTGATCCATCCCAAGGTAACTTCTGAACTCTGTGCAAACCATCAATTTTCCCAAGGAAAGTACATTGGAAAAAGAGGTAGTCAAGTTTAATGAAAGAAAGGTATGTGTGGAAACGCATACAGCCCAAACACATTAACTTGAGAGCCTCTTCACGGATCACAAAAGTAGAAAAATCTATAATCCAGAAACTCTGGGAGGATATGGATATTAATGAACATTCATCAAAATTATGTTTGTTTTGATGCTCTGTAAATAGCATTTGTGATCAGTAAGAAGCAAAGCAGATTATTAGAACTAGGCCGCCCGTGTCCTTTCCGGCACTAGACTCTGCAACACCATCACCTCCATCCTCGCCTATCCCCCAGAACTCATAGAGTTCAAGATCCTGGTCCTCATCTTCCACGCCCTCCACAGCTTTGCTCCGTTCTACCTCCTAATCCCCTACCACCTGTCTGTTCCCTCTGCTCAGCAGGCTCCTGGTTTATGTCCCCTGTCTTGCCTGCCCCACCATTGGCGGGCAGACCTTCAGCCTCTTTGCCCCCACCTTTTGGAACTTCATCCCATTCCTTTCACCTCGCCCCCTCCCTTGTCTCCTTCAAGTCCCTACTCTTCAACCGTGCTTTCGGTTACCCTCCTAACCCTCCCCTTCCTCCACCCCTCCTGATCCCAACCACCAGTTCGGGTGCGGATCCCTGACTGTCTTGGGACATCCTCCTGATGTGAGAGGCACTATACAAATGTAAGTTGTTGTTCAATATCACAAACACATGAAATCCGTGGAGCTGTTTATCACCATAGCAAGATGCACGAGAAGCAGATCATATTATTAAGCCAATTTTAAGTGAGAATGAGATCTGGAAAGTGCTGAGAATCCTCCTATCGACTACTTGCATTTATATATTGTTTTGCATTCCACTTGGGATAAAGATCTAAAATTGCACACTGGATTCCGGGTACACCAATGTTCTGGCTGCTTGGCTGTCAGTCAATGTCTGGATGAGCCACAATTTCCTTCAACTAAATATGGACAAATATGGCTCCCATATCTCCTTACTCTGGCTCTGACCTGGTCAACTTCCCAAGCCTCTCTCAAACTTCTCTAACCAATGCATAATGTTGGCATCTAGTTCGATCCTCAGCTCTTCTTTCTCAGTTCAAGAACACTTTTCTTCTCCTCTGCCACACTGCTCGCTTCTGCCCCTATCCCACAGCAAATGCCACCAAAACCCTTACCCACCCCTGTTGCTTCCTGCCTGGATTTTTCAAATGCACTCCTTCCTCCCTGGTCTCCCTGGCTCTGGCATCCATAAACTCCAACTTATTCAAAACTCCACTGTCCTCAACCTCACCTGCTCCGAACTACGTGTTTCCGTCACCATACTTACTCGGCTCCACTGGCTTCTAGTGGATCAAGTTCAAGGTCCTCAGAATCACCCCAGCACCTCCCAACTCTCTAATTTCCTCCTCACTACTCTTCTGCTCATCGCCTCCACTTGGCTAACTCAGGTTTAAGTGCACTGGATTGCTACCGCAATGAGGTGGGCTGTATAAATGCAAGTTTCACCCACAAAATATACAGTCCATTCACTTTGCAGTATATTCTGCGAAGCGCTTTGAGACGTCTGGAAAGACGTGATAAGGCGCTATATCAAATGCGAGTATCATTAAGTTGTTGTTGCTGTTGTTTGCTGCACAGGCCATGCCCTCTCCGTCCCCCGTCCCCCCCCCCACCAAGTGGCCAAGCTTGCCGGTACGCAATTGGTTGCCGCTTTTCACCCACAAAACACAGTCACTACACTCTTTAGCATGCATTCCAGGAAGCGCTTTGAGGCGTCTCGACGACGTGATCCGGCGCGGTATCAAACGCAAGGATTATTATCATTATTATTATTACCACTCCCTAATCTGTGGTTACTCCCTCCCTCAATCCCTGCGTCTCACCGCACCCCCCCCCCCCACACTCTCTACTGCTCTTCAACGCAAAGGCCGGGGGTCTGGTCACAGCCCGAGCCTCGGGGCCGGGCCTCGGGCCTCGGGCTCTCGCTCACCTTCGCCACTTTGGGGATCCGCTGTTTTCCGGCCGCTGTGGACGCCATTGTCGAGCTGGAGGAGGAAAACAAATGGTGCTTTTTCCCGCACGAACAGCTTTTACACCCGAACACACACCCACACACACACACACAGCACAGCACAGGCCGCGGCCTCCGCTCCCCTTCGCAGCCCAATACCTCTCGCGCACGCGCAGCGCCCGGAGCCCAGCGGCGCCCGCGCGTGCGCAGTGACAAGCTGGCGGTGCTGCCCCCCCCCCCGCGCACGCGCCGTGACCAACCGAATCCTTTTCCTTCTCCGCTCCCCCCCCCCCCCCCCCCCCTCGCCGGCTCGAGCATGCGCGGTTGGGTGTTGCCCGGTTGCCATGGGAGCGGCGGTTTGTTGCCGGTGATTTCCTGCCCCGGAGGAGGAGAGCGACTGCTGTTCTTTCCCTCTGGTGGCTTCGTGTGTCAGTGAGTCAACCGCCCCCCCCCACACCCACATACCCCCCACACACACACCACACACACACACACCCCTCACACACCCCACACACACACACACACCCTCACACCCCCCTCACACACCCCCCACCCCCACACCCCACATCCCCACACACCCCCACCCCCCACCCCCCCCCCCCCCACACACACACCCCCACACACACACCCACACATACCCCACACACACACCCACACATACCCCACATCCCCACACACACCCCCACACACCCACACCCGCCCTCACACACCCACACCCACACCCCCCCCTCACACACACACCCCCCACACCCACACACCCCCCCACACACACACCCCCACACACACCCCCACACACACACCCACACATACCCCACATCCCCACACACACCCCCACCCCCCCTCACACACACACCCCCCACACCCACACACCCCCCCACACACACCCCCACACACCCCCCCCACACCCCCCCCCACACCCCCCCCACACACACCCCCCACACACACCCCCACACACCCCCCCCCACACACAGCCACACACACCCGCCCACACCCACACACCCACACATACACCCACACCCCCACACACACCCACACCCCCCCTCACACACACACCCCCCACACCCACACACCCCCCCACACACACCCCCACACACCCCCCCCACACCCCCCCCACACCCCCACACACGCCCCCACACACCCCCCCACACCCCCCCCACACACCCCCCCCCACACCCCCCACACACACACCCCCTACACCCCCCCCCACACCCCCCCCACACCCCCCCCACACACCCCCCACACCCCCCCACACCCCCCCCCCACACCCCCCCCACACACCCCCCACACACCCCCCCACACACCCCCCCACACGCACACACACCCCCCCACACCCCCCCCCACACACCCCCCACACACCCCCACACACACCAAAAGGAGAAGAAACGAGTCGAAAGTGAACAGGTGAAGAACAAGACTGTAAGACCACCCAGAACTCTGCAGCCCGTGTCCTCCTCCCGCACCGGGACTCCCTGACTCTGATCAGCCCCATCCTCGCCCCGACTCCACCGGCTTCCCGTCACACCGAGGATACAGTTCAAGATCCCGGTCCTCACCTTCAAAGCCCTCCACGGTCTTGTCTCGCCCCCCCCACCCCCGCCCCACCCCATCTCTGCGACCTCCTAACCCCCTAACCATCCTGTTCCGCTCGGCGGGGCTCCGACCTGCTTCACTTGCCCCGCCTCGCTCGCCCCACTATCGGCGGGCGGGCCTTCCGCCACTCTGCACCCGCCCTCTGGCACTCCCTCGTCTCGCCCCCTCCCTCGCCACGTTCAAGCCCCCCCCTCAAGACCCTCCTCTTCGACCGTGCTCTCGATCTCCCCGCTTCACCCCCTGCCCTAGCGTGAAAGGTGCTATACAAATGTAATTTTGTTGTTGTAAAAAAAAGGTGTTTTTTTGCCTCTGTTTACCTAGCGCTACTTTGTTAATCAATCGCTTTTCCGTTGGTAATAAATCCCTTAAAATAATAAATTGGTCACTTCAATCCTCGACTGTTTGGGCCGCTGCTGTGCACAATTGGCTGCCGCGTCTCGCCCACAAAATACGCAAGTCAATTCACTTTACAGTATATTCTGTGAAGAGCCTTGCGATGTCTCGAAGAAGTGAAAAGCGCTATATCAAATGCAAGGATTATTATTATTTGAGTACATTGTACTCTGGGGATACTGTACTTTGGAATAACTAGCCAATTCTGATAAGTCTTCTTTTAAGCTATTTCCCTTGGGGTGTGGAGTAATCAGAGTTGCACTGTAGTTAGCCCAGGTGGAGGAGCTGGCGGGACGGGCCCGTTTTGGGTTCAGTTGTTTTTCTTTAATAACCATCTGGAGCATGATAAGCCCTTCAACAAAAATGGCCTTGTGAAATGCTCTTGTCTTTCACCTCCATGATTGTACGGTATATCTTTTCATTTGCAGAGCCATAATGTCAAGGCATAATACATCTACATCGAAAATATCGCCAATAATTATAAATGCGAGGCGGTCTGAATCAAAAGATGTTCAAGAGATTATGAAAATGATGGACACAACAACAAAAAACATATTTGGAAACATTAATGTTATCCATTTGCTGTAAGTATCAGTATAATGCTTGGTCAGTAACATTTCTGAAGAACAAGCTTTCTTTTATTTGGGCATGGAATTATTATCCACTATAATATCACTCACTCGGTAATTTGCTTTAATAACAGCTGCAATATAACTGTGTGGACACTTTCAATATTATGTACTCCTCCATATTGTATAAAATGGAGATTTTTTTTACCAGGTAGATGTTTATGTTTTAATTTTACTTTTCTCTCCTCCCTGCAAGGTAATGCTGTTTGGGTTTTTATAGAATTTGGACTCACCATTGAATATTTCCACAGGAAATCCTGCAGATTGTCGTCTGAACTGCTTCTCGTACTGATTGGGAGTTATCCTAATCAGCCAAATTCAATACTATCCCACAACAACAAGTTGAAGTTAACAGCGGTATAATTTGACGCTCAGCTCATAATCAATCCAACATATTGTATCTGTTAATGATCATCGATAGCCATCCTTGATCTATTGTGTGTTTATGGTTTTCATCTATGAGTAGTGATTTGCCAATGATATCCTCTCTGCTAAGATTGATACGACTAGCGAGCAATACAAATTAGTATCAACAATTAATTGTTACTTGGCAATAATGTACATCTTGAAATCTATAATGGATGATTTTTTAAATATTTTTAGTGAGAAGGCAAATCTAGCAGTTACCATAGAGAATGAGAAGAAGGAAGTTCTGGCTCAGGCTACCTTCTTAGATTATCCAAATGTAAAAGGGGTGGACCAAAGTCAGTGGGAAACCTGGATCCGAAGATACAGTCAATCTGGAAAGTGTACGGTGAGTTGAAATTTGAATTGATTTAAATGTCTCCAAATGCTGGATATTACACGCTATATTGGGACACATTTTCTTCAATCTACCGGTATATTCAACATTTATCACAGCAAATGTTTCTTTCATGTGATGGAGTTAGACCTCCCAATGGTGATGTCCATGAAGCTGGGCCTCTGGACATGGGATTTACAGTTCATAGATTGAGGCATTTGACTGGGGTAGTTTGACTGGGCGACTGGGATGCTTTGAGACACCTTCCTGACATGAAAGGTGCTATATTAAATCAATAATTATTTGTATCAGTATTATTATGTTATTACAGTTTAGATTACTCTGTAGTGCTAGTTTCAAAGTGGTTTTCAGCGATGGGCCACCCAGAGCAATAATACTACCATGTTACACTTGAATTGATGTCAATTTTCTTGGTATATTTGAACTTCCCAAAATAACTACTTTACACAGGAGATGGACATTTTGTGCACAGGGTATCTAGTTAAGATATTTCTGAATTGTCTTAGTAACAGTACCAGTTGCACCAATGATTATAGAAATTATGCTTGTCTTGTCCTGCCTTTTGCATCTGCATTCAATTTGTAGGTCAAAAGACTTCCTGATCTTCTCAGTTCCTTATTTTGTACATTGTAGTCACTTGGAATGGCCACATCAATAATACTAAGTGTACAATCCAGTTGTTTTTTATGATTATATCTGGTTTATTACAGATTATGGTTGTGTGCACTTGTGTGTCCCAGATTATTGTGATGTTACCTTTTGATGTCACTTTTGCTGGTTGATGTTCCTAACAGTTGGTACTTATGTCAATATCAAAGTGTTTACAGATCATCCAGTGGATACATTTAACTACATTGTTATGTCGATTCAGGTACTCTGATGACACCATAGGGCTGGATATGATGACAATATGTAGTCTACTGTTTCTAGTGCTTGATGGCGTATTCAGCATTTCAGATTAGGGCTTTTCTTCAAAATCTTATTTTCATAATAACGGGTAGTAATAGCTTGTACTTGTGTTGATATTATGCAAGCTTCTTTTTCACTTCTCAGATCCTTATTATTATTACAATTATTAATAATAATAAGCCCAGAGGACATTACAAAGTTAGGAAGGGACAGGAACATGAACATTTTTTAATGATAGGACGAGGATCTTGAAATTGATATACAATGGTACTAGATAGAACCTGATGAAAACAAGATAATTCAGAGTCAGGTGCAGGAGAAAATATGAGCTGCATTTATTAATAAACACCAAACAGGTACAAATTATTTCTTGATAATAATTAGCACTGGTGTGAGTTATCACACAGTGATAAGTATCACATCAAACCTATATAAAACCAACAATGTAGGTTATAATTATCAATGTTGCGATTTGGAATTTGCAATCTAGGCCGACACTTCAATTCTGGTGATTTGCTGCATTCTTGGAGCTGCTGTTCTTTGGATGAGATGTTAAACCAAGGCCCTGCCCTGTCTGCATATTCAGGTGGATGTTAAAGATGCCACAGTACTATTCAAAAAGAGAAAGGAGTTTCTCCCCGTGTCCTGGTTAACAATCACCCAAATAAAATTGATCACTCACTTCATGGCTGATTGTGGGACATCGCTGTCAGTGCTTAGTGATGTCCTCCCGAAGTAAAAGGTGCAATATAAATGCAATTTATTGTTGTTGTGTGTACAATTGGCTGCCACATTTGCTCATAAAACACACTTTACAATATATCCTGTGAAGCTCTTTGGGATATGCTTCCAATATGGAAGGCATTATCTCAAATGTATGGATTAGCATTATTATTATTTAGTGATTGTGGCAATCTAAAAATATTTTTTTATCTAAGACTTAACTTGTAAGACCGTTTTGCCTTCAATTGTGGAAAATTGTTAAATTCAATCTTAATCTGAAAAAAATGGAAAACTCTTTTCCAAATTAAGACTGAATTGAAGAATTTTCCACTATTCTACCCGATCTTAAATTTTACAACAAAATTATCTTAAACGCTCAAATACATGAAGAGTGCAAATATAAAGGAAAATAATAATAATAATAATCTTTGCATTTGATACAGTGCCTTATCACATCGTTGAGATGCCTCAAGGCGCTTCTCAGGATATACTGTAAAGTGTAGTAACTGTTTATTTTGTGGGTGAAACACGGCAGCCAATTGTAAAATTGTAGAAAAGTACAATTTTAACATAAAACAAACAAAATTGTACTGTTTCATGAAATATTGTCTTCTGTAGCTGATGTATGCTTACATTCTCTATATTTTTTAATGTTTAACAGGCAATGAACACACTTTTCCTGCACCTGTTTGTGACAAATTCACATTACCCAATTGGTTGCATCAAAGAAATTATCAGGTAGATTGATTACAGTGTTTTTTAACTCTAGATAATGGATTATACCTCATACACATTTTGATTTTTAGTTAGCTGGGTGCCTCACACACAAGGAAACCATTTCCTATGCTTCCAGTTCCAGCTACAGCCCTTGCCTGGTTCAAATCCTACTCTCTCACTGTCTTCACTTTGTTGCCACTGATGGCTTCTCCTCCAGCCCCTGCAACGTCACCCTCAGGGCTCTGTCCTTGTCCCTCTCCTTTTCAATATCTACATGCTCCCCCTTGGTGACATCATCCGGAGACATGGGATCAATTTCTATATGTATGCGGATGGCACCAAACTCTACCTATCTGCTTCCACCCTCGATTCCAGGGTCACTGCTGTATTCACAGAATGCCTATCGGACATCAAGTCCTGGACAAGAGCTAACCTCCTGCAGTTGAATGTCAGCAAGACCGTGGCCCTCCTGCTTGGCTCCCATCGGCGCTTCCATACCTCAGGCCAATGGATGCACTCTACATCTCACGGAGCCAGTACAGAACCTCGGCGTCCTGTTCGACTGTCAACTGTCCTTCATACCTCACATCCATGCCAGGGCCCGCTCCACCTTTGTCCACCCACCCCAACATCACTCGGCTCTGCCACTGTCTCACACTGCAGGCCGCCGAGACCCTCATCCATGCATTCATAACATCCAGACTCGACTACGCAAACTCCCTGCTTGTCAGCCTCCCCAACTCCTCCCTCCATAGGCTGCAGATCATTCAGAACTCTGTAGCACGTGTCTTCTCCCGCACCAGGCTCCGCGATCCTATCACTCCCTCTCTTGCCCGACTCCACAGGTTTCTCATCACACAGAAGGTACAGTTCAAGAACCTGGTCCTCACTTTTACAGCCCACCATGGCCTTCTTCCCCCTACCTTTACAACCTCCTGACCAACCTGCCCGCTCTCTCCGCTCAGCGAGCTCTGGCCTGCTTCATGTTCCCCGCTTCACCCGCCCCACCATTGGCAGGTGGGTCTTCAGCCACTCTGCCCCCACCCTCTGGAACTCCATCCCACAGTTTCTCTGCCTCGCCCCCTCCCTTGCCTCCTTCAAGACCCGTCTCAAGTCCCTCCTCTTCGAATGTGCCTTTGGTTATCCTCCTTCCCGCCCTGCCCCCACCCTCGCCGATCCTGACCCCCAGCTCAGATCCCAAACACAGATTGTCCAGTGCCTTGAGATATCCTCCCGACATGAAAGGTGCTGTACAAATCTAATTTTATTGTTGTTTGTATGCTTTGAGGAGAAAAAAAACCTATGTTTTCAGTTTTCTGATCATTCTCTACACTGCTGAACTGCAAAATGACATTTTTTAACTCTGTACATTGATTAATTTCAAAAAGGTTTCTTGTGTTTCTGATTGTTATTTCTATTTCCACTTATTGATATATAAAGGAGTAGGAGATTGAAATAGGAGGATTGGGGACTCATGTGCAGTATATTCACTGCACAGACTTGTTGGGCTCCGTGCCATATCACTCTATATAACTCTATGTAACTAATTCTTGTATTTTACAGGACAGTCTTTAATGTGGTCCGAGAACTGCACCACATAATTCTTAATACTGGAAAGAATGTCTTTCCAGGTAAAAACAATCTGAATTGTTAAAACCCTTATCTTTAATTTCACTTTTTAATGTTGTATTGTTTGAAAAATGAGTCAATCAAATAAATCTAGTGATTAATTATATCTGTCTGATTCTATCTCAGACCCTTCTTTATCTTACATCTTCGCTCCGATGGCACTATATAAGAGTGAACCAGGTATCGTTGATCATGCATCTTACATGTGTTATCGACAGGATCATGTTCCAGTACTATATATCCGTAAGGCCAGGTAATGAATCACTTTTCTGAAACATCCCATCTAGGGATTTATTTGTAACCTTGTTTCTGGGACTGATGCTACTAGAGAGCTACATATTGGGGTTCAAAATCAATCAACTGACAATATTGCAAGCCTATAATGTTCCAAAATTATTGGTGGTTGGAGTTTTCAAACTGTTCATTAGCCTTAAGTTGAAATAAGTCAAACAACATGTCTTTTTTTGTCATATTCATATGGCATTGCACCCTTTCCTTGTCGGAAGCCATATTTTCCTATGTATTTACCTATAATAATAATCCTTGCATTTGATATAGTGCCTTATCACGTCTTCTAGATCCTTCAAAGTACTTTACAGAATATACGGTAAAGTGAATGGATTCTATGTTTTGTGGGTGAAACGCAGCAGCCAATTGTGCACATAATGTTGAAACATCACAAAGCAGTTCACCAAAATTGCTGTATTTCTAGACAAACTGCACTGCCCTACAATCTGGGCTTGCCCCCTTATATTTCAGAGTCCCCCCCCCAACCCCAGAATTGTATTCAGTTCTTCAATCCTGACCTGATCAGAGCACAGTTTCCCTTGAGCATGAAGATTTGAATTCAAATGATTAGCAATGTAACTCATCATCCCGATTGCCTTGTTTATGATTGCTTGCAAAGTTCGGACATAAAGTTTGCCTTTCGCACATTTCGTCCAATAAATGCTTCCTTTTCCAATGTGCAACACCTTACATTGATTCTGCATTGAACTTCATTTGCCAGCAATCAGCCTGGCCGCAAACCCTATCAATTGTCTATAAGACTATCTTCTCCAGTTCCACAGCTGTTTTGCCCACCTTGTCTTCAACCTAGTTGTCATCTCAAAGTGTAATTGTATAACCTTGCAAGAGTTGCATTTGAAATAAGTTTCTTGGCTCAACAGGATAGAGGATCATGATGAACTCAACTCAATATTCATCAAGCATAGTGACACACTGCGACTTACCTATGGTGATTTCTTCCTGGCAGAGCTAATAGAAGCTCAAGATGACCATAATCATGCTGCTGTCTGTGAGGTCAGTGCTTGGCTTTCTGAAAAGATATTTGTGTTTCAGTCTTTTGTGGAATACTGAGAAATTTTACATTAATCAATGCTGTAGATGGATAGGTGGCAACTTTCTTGGTCTACAGCCAAAATAAATGCATGACTTCAATAATATGGGTTTATGGGATAGGCTTATGTCATACTGTTTGGAATGCATTGAGGGATGCATCGTTCTAAAGTTAATTTCTGATGTGTGATATTAAGCCAAACAATATAGTTAGTTAAATTTGATCAAATTAGGATAGGCACAAATGGAAACAATGCTAATATTATGTTTTAAAACTCCTAATTCAGGTAAAAAGCTCTGCAGTTGGGTTTGTAAGTGTGTGCAGTGATGTGAATGTGAACCTTCTAGTTCAGTGCTTCGATTTGCGCCCATTTCATAATTTCGCCAAAGTCCCACGTAAGGTTGAGTCAGTGGCAAGTCTGGAACCAGATGCCATATCAGGTATGTTAATTATTAATAATCCATACGTTTCATATTGCACCTTTCACATCAAGAAGACATATAGAAATTCTTCACAGGATTTACTATAAAGTTTAGTGATTCTGCATTCTATGGGCAGTTAATTGGTACACAGCAATGTCCCACAAACAGTCATGAAGTGAATGACCAATTTTTATTTGGGGATGATTGTTGGCCAGGACTTTCTTTGAAGAAAGCCATGGGATCTTTAAAGTCCATTGAACTGGTAGATGGTACCTTAGTTTAATGTCTTGTGCGAAGATTGGTATCTCTTGTGATGTATCACTCTACCACCACCATATTGGAGGATTTTATGGGTGAACACAGCAGCTAATTGGATTAGTCTAGATCGGTGTAGCCAATCTTTTGCTAAGGTGTGCCACATTTTGAGCCCAAGACATATTGCCGTGCCACTAAAAATGCATAGTAAAATTAAAAATAAAATAAAAATATTACTGGAAAAGAAAAACGCATTCATTAAGAAATTCACAATAAAATATCAAACAAGTTACTTAATGAGGCTTCTGAATTTGTTTTTCGTTCATGATATCTTCAATATGTGGATTCAGTTTTGAGCACGCTACTAGAAGAAGATTATTAAGGTGATCATCTGTTAGTTTGGAACATTTTTTTTATGGCGGAAAAGGACCGTTCACAGGTGTAGGTTGATCATATCTGCACACATATCACAGAGCATGGTCATGCAATTTAGGAAAATCACTCTTAGGGACCAATTTCCCAAACTACTTCAAGTCCTGGCTTACTGGAGAAGCACACAGTTCTTTGAATTTGCTATATAGATCTGAATCATTTTTAAGTTCCAAAATTTCTAACTGCATTTCTGCTGGATAATGTTCAACCTCTGTATCTGAAAGAGGGAAAGGGTTGGTTAAAAGTGCTATATTGTCTTTGTCTTTAAATTCCTGAAAACGGCCATCAAAGGAATTAATTAATGGAGAAATGGGTTCTGATATTTTTTGAAATTAATGATGACGTTACTGTCACTTTTAAACCATTGTAAGTGAACAAAGTGATCCAGTTTTTTTCAAGACAAAACATTCAAAAAAAGGTTGCGGTTGGCCTTGAAAGCTGAAATTAAATTAAACAGAGTTGGAAAAGGGCAATCCTCTCCTTGCAAGCATGCATTGAGGATGTTAAGATGACTGGAAATGTCTGTAAGGAAAACAAGGTCACTGAACCAGTCTTTATCTTGAAGGAACTTGCAGACTTCAAGAACTTCTCCCTTCTCTAAAAACGTAAGCACTTTTTCTTTTAAATTCCAAAATCTTTCAAGAGCCTTCCCCTGTGACAGCCAACAAACATTGCAATGTAACTCCCCTTCCTCATTTGTGTCTTCATCAAAGAAGTTACGAAATTCACAGCGCTTTAATGCATACTCACAAATTTTGTTTACGCAACACACCACAAGATCAAGAACACAAGATAACTCCAAGAGAAGTCTTTGGCGCAAAGGGCCTCCTGATAAATAATGGTACTTGAATAACTTGCATTCCAAAAATTTTGCCAACAAACCAACACAACCATTCCTCTTTCCAGTCATAGCAGACGGCCCTGTCTGTACAAATGCTCTCTAATTTGGACCAGTCAAGTTTATTGTCTTCAATACATTTTTTTAATTCTTCAAAAATATCCGTCCCATAGTTGAAACAAAGAAATTTCTCAATTATATCAAAAATTTTCATCGATACACCTAACAAAAACATTGAGCTGTGTGTGCTGTGTCAATAGAATCACAACTTTCATCCAGTACTAATGAAAAATGCTTAATGACGGAGATAGAAAATACAATTTGCTTCAACATATCACTAGACATCTCATCAATTGGGGTCAGTTTTATTGCCGATTGGTAAAAGCAATTCACGGCTTTACATGTGGGATTATTTTCTTTCCTATTTTCAGTTTGATTTTTTTGTCCTGCACTGTGTTGGCGCTACCCTGTGCGCAATTGGCTGCCGCGTTCGCCCACAAATATACAGTCAATTCACTTTACAGTATATTCTGTGAAGCGCTTTGGGACGTCCTCCCGACGTGAAAAGCGCTATATCAAATGCAAGGATTATTATTATTATTATTATTATTACCCTAACACTGTTCTTTGGCTGAGGCTGATCCCGAGCTGCTTCCAGGATACTTCATTGCAGTTCTTCAGCTGATTTTTCTTTTATTAGTGGAGTATGTTATTTACAGATAGGTTCCCAATCCGAAGAACATGTCAAGGAGGAAAGTAAAAGTGAAAAATTAGAAATGGGAAAGAACAACAACAATATTACATTTGTATGGTGCCTTTCACGTCAGGAGGACGCCCCCAGTCAGTTTTCTGGACCCGTACTTGGTGTCAGGATCGGGAGGGTGGAAGGCAGTGCGGGGGAAGGAGAGTGATTCAGGGCATGATCGAAGAGGAAGGTCTTGAGATGGGTCTTGAAGGAGGCAAGGGAGGGGGTGAAGCGGAGGGACTGCGGATGGAGTTCCAGAGGGTGGGGTCAGAGTGGTTGAAGGCCCGCCTGCCAATTGTGGGGCAGGCAAGGCGGGGGATGTGAAGCAGGCCAAAGCCTGCTGAGCGGAGGAACCAGTTGGTAGGGGGTTAGGAGGTTGCAGAGGTACTGGGAAGAAGGCCATTGAGGGCTTTGAACATGAGGACCTGGATCTTGAACTGTATCCTCTGTGTGACAGGAAGCCAGTGGTGTCGGGCGAGGATGGAGGTGATAGGATCACAGAGCCTGGTGCTGGAGAGGACATGGACTGCAGAGTTCCGGATGATCTGCAGCCTATGGAGGGAGTAGTTGGGAAGGCTGACAAGCAGAGAGTTTGCCTAGTCAAGCCTGGATGTTATGAATCCGTGTATGGGGATTTCGGCCGCCTGCGTTGTGAGACAGTGGCGGAGCTGGGCAATGTTGTGGAGTTAGGGGAAGGCAGAGCGTGTCATGGCATGGATGTGGGGTAGAAAGGATAGTTGAAAGTCAAATAAGATGCCAAGGTTCTGGACTGACATACTAAGGTGGAGTGTGTATCCTTGGATGGTGATGCTGTCAACGGCTGAGGTGTGGAGGCGCTGACAGGAGCCAATCAGGAGAGCCTCGGTCTTGGTGATGTTCAACTGAAGGAAGAAAATAATATGCAATATCCCATGTCTTACCATTTCATGGAATTTTAAGAAAGTTGGGAGCAAGTTATCTGCCCACTCTTCCCTGGGGAATAGTTGGGAGAGTAAACCAATACCAGTAGAGAAAATTAACTAAATTGGAAAAATCACTCTTTTTCCATCAAGGTTGGATTCTAATTGGTCAAAATCACCTAAGTTTAAGCTGTTTTCTCATTCACCAAAGCTGTAAGTTAAAATGCAGCTTGAGGGAAAAAATCTTAATGTTAATCAAATCTATCTTTTTAATATTGCTGGGGAGTGGGAAAGAAGCACAACAGGTTGCAAAGGATGAATACTGTAGGAAAACACAAGGGAATAAAAGCTGCAGGTGGAAAAAGAGATGTACTAGCCTCAGTAAGAAAGCAGGTTAGTTCCTTTGCTCTCCATATCAAGGAAGCTGAAAAATAATCAACTCTGGAATTTTCCAGTCCTAGTTGATCTTACAGAGAGGGCAATATGCAGCTATATTGGAATGGTAGGGATCAGGACACTGGTCCTAATTGAGAAACAGCTTGATGCTGTAATGGGAAGGTAGTTCTGGAAGGATGAGATAAAATAGGCTAAAGAGTTGTCTTCGTCCAATCTTCTTTTGAGATCTTGTAATGGAGTGCTCCTGCAGCATTCCTTATACTTCACTGAGTAGATGTACTATACTTTGTGGAGTTCTGTAGCTCAGTGGTTAGAGCACTCGCTTTGCAAGCGAGAGACCTGAGTTCAATTCCAGGCAGAGGGCGAAACCTTGGGCAAGTTTCCTTACTCCACACGCCTAATAATAATCCCTCCAAAACAAAAAAACAATAATAAAATTGGTAATTTTCAATCTACGACTGTTTGTGGGACATTGCTGTGCGCAATTAGCTGCCGCGTTCGCCCACAAATATTGTCAATTCACTTTACAGTATATTCTGTGAAGCGCTTTGGGACGTCTAGAAGACGTGAAAAGCGCTGTATCAAATGCAAGGATTATTATTATTATACTGTAATATGCAGAGTATGGCTGTAGACGGACAGTCTCTGGAAAACCAAATTCCAAATTAAGTCTAAATTTGAAAACAAAACTGTCTTGCAGGCTAAGACTGAAATTTCATGTGAGTATACCTACGAGACATCAAAATAAAACTCTGATAAAGGACAATGCAAAACATTAATTTCCAAGTTGTCAGTGATATCAACAGTGAGACATGGAGTTGGATTAAATATGGCAAAAGGGAAAGCAACAGTGTTGCAAAATTCCCTGATTCTCTAACGGGAATTACTCAGAAGTCATATTTAATTGTGGAAAATTCTTAAGTTCATTTTTAATGTGGAATTGTTTTTTTAAAAGAAATGTGAAAAAACAAGATTTTTTTCAGAATTTCTGCACAATCTTAAATTTTTAGACAAAATGTGTAACTGGGTGAAATTTTGCATCTCTTCAGGTTTGTCTCTAAATAAAGGAGGTACTGTATCAATGATACAGCATAGATGTTAGTGTAGTCATCTGCCTGGTGATCTTTTGAAATTAATGGCATTCTGAATGGGGAAAATCAGAAAGAGATGAAAGCTAAATCAAATTTAAAAACAGGGCTTATTGAACAAAAATATAAGGTATGATTCAGACTCATTCGAAATCAAAATTGCTGAAAAACTGAAATGCTTGCCTTTGTTTGAACAGGTAAAGAATCAACTGAGCAAAGTACGTCACTTGAATTCAGCAAGGTATGTCACTTCAAAACATTGAAAAGCAACAGGTATCTTCATTCAAATAAAAAAATATATCACTCAGGCTGATTGAGATTGTGTCAGATCAGAAACCAATTTATTGTCAAAGACGATCAAATTTGGAAGTAGAACATAATACATTAATTTTACCAAGGTGGCACCTATTAAGGATGCAAAGCCATTCTGTAAAGACAACTTGTGTACTGGGAGAAAATCAAGTCCACTTACGTCCCAAATAATTTAGGAGTCAAAATTAAAGTAATCTTAAACACATTCCGTTCCTTAATTATAACTGAGAATAATTAAGGAATGTTTTATTCATTGGAAACTGTCCTTAATGACAAGCTTGACTGATCACTCTTCTCATTTTGGGATGGTTTCTCCCCAAGCCTTTTCAGAATGGACTCAGCTGCCAGATTTTTAATAGAGAGTGGGGCAATTTTTTTTCATTCATAGCTGATACAACAACTGCTTTTTAACTTTTTATATTTTTACCTTAAAATAATATTTGTCAGCAAACATGTGGGAAATCCACATTCTCTATGGCCTGGATAATGGCTTTCCTGATCGATACAGCTCATGGCATTTGCGCTTGCATAGTATAATAATAATAATCCTTGCATTGATATAGCACCTTATCATGGCATCTCAAAGCGCTTCACATGATATAATATAAATTGGATTGACTGTGTATTTTGTGGGCGAAATGCAGCAGCCGGAGCACAGTAGTGTCCTACAAACAGCCATGGAGTGAGTGACCAATTTTATTTTGGGGGATTGTTGGCCAGAACATCAGGAGAAACTCCCTTCTCTTTTTGAACAGTGCCATGAGATCTTTAATATCCACCTGATCAGGTAGATGAGACCTCAGTTTAACATCTCATCCGAAGGATGGCACCTCCAACAATGTAACACCCACCCGCACTGCATTAGAAGGTCAGCTTAGACTAAGCTGATCTTAGTGATTTCAAGTCGTGATGTGGGGCTTGAACCCACACCTTTCTGACTCAGAGGCGAGAGGGCTACCACTGCACCAGACTGACGTCTACGTACAGTGTATGTAAATCAAGCTGGGCTTGTTTCTCTGTAGTCCATTCATAGCTCTTCAAGGCCTGAGAACTTTGAATAGAATATTCTTAATTAAAACCTGATTTGATTGTAACTCTTTATCAGACTTGGAATGATCAGGGTGGAGAAAGACTGAAGTGCTCCAAGATGCCATCCTGCACAAAGGATGCTGTATAAATGCAAGTTGTTGTTGTTGGTGTTGAAAAGTGCTAATAAGACCTGCACAAAAAAATAAAGATGATGACAGTCATCCAAAATTAAACTAACCCACTACGCATGTTTGGGGTTTGAATTTGGCATTTTTGTTTTTTGTTGTACATTTGTAAATTACCATTACAATCAGAGTTGGACAGAATTCATAGCTTGCCCACTTTCAGGGGGAATAATTTTTTAAATCAAACTTCACATAATTGGGTCTCTCATATACCAGACACTAAAAATATTTTTTTTCTTAATTCTTTAGAAAAGAAAATTCCTTGATGACGTGAACAAAGGATAATTTTTAGCAATGAGATAATTATTTTGTAATTGATGTTGTCTAAAGAGGGCCATACTGGTCTTTATTATTTTTTAGTGAGGTATTCATGGTTCTGTTTCGACTAGAAACCATTACTTTTTTATAATCCTTCCACATGTTAGAATTTACACTTTTTGTATAATGTTAAAATCATAATAGATGTTGCGAACGGGTTAACTTTTAAGTTAACTGTGGGGGGGCAACTGGACTGAAACTCATGAGTTTCCCAGGATCACGTGAGTGTCTCAAGGATAAGATGTGTACTACTGCCCTGCAAGTACACAAGATAACGGACTGTCTCAAGGACAGTGTGTTTGTGTGTGTGAGGCACGTATGCTCCATCAGATGTTCACTTGAACCCAGCATGATTTTGGCCAGGTTACCTAATGTCTGCACCAGAAGTAGACGAGGATTGTTAAGGAAAAAACTTTTTTTCGAGTTCCAATCAAACACAACCACTGTTTGCAACCAGAGTAGTGTTTATTAAACTCCAGGATCCATCCACGTTCCCGATGGGCATGGGAAAGTAAGCACAACCAATAGATTCACTAACAGAACAATAGTACCGCGTAATCCCTCCTCGTCGTCGTCTACCTCTGCCTTCTAGCTCTCAGTCTTCCATCCACGGTAGGTACTGTCCTGGGCGCCGATCTTGGTCTGGCACGGTGTCTTAAGCTTGTGTCCATCCAATCATGGTGCAGACATTAGGTCACCTGGCCAAAATCATGCTGGGTTCAAGTGAACATCTCATGGAGTGTACGTGCCTCACACACACAAACACACTGTCCTTGAGACAGTCCATTATCTTGTGTACTTGCAGGGCAGTAGTACACATCTTATCCTTGAGACACTCACGTGATCCTGGGAAACTCATGAGTTTCAGTCCAGTTGCCCCCCCCCCCCACTTAACTTAAAAGTTAACCCATTCGCAATATCTATTATGATTCTAACATTATACAAAAAGTGTAAATTCTAACACACACGTTCGGATTCTCATTAGATTATTACAAACCCTATGGACCATACTTAAACAATGTAGCATGAAATTATAATATATTCTGGGAATGAGGGTTCAAAGATAATTAAAAGGTAAATTAAACATGATTTGTGCTCTCTTGCCTGTCCTTGCTTCAGGAGCATTTATCCAAACAGAGTATGCCAGATATTGAAGGCCAAGTGACCGAAGAGAGTACAGAAACCATCACGCAGAGCGTCATTACTACAGAGGTTGCACAACCTCCAAATGTTTTCTGCATACAACTATTCTGTATTAATGATGAGTACGAATCAAGGTAAATTCTATCACAATATCAATTATTTTTATGTGCAGTAGTTTATGTCTGTAACTCAATAAAATGATGCTGCAGTGAGTCCCAAATTGCTCTTGACTGATAACTATTTACAAAATTAGAAGACATTTTCAAAACCTACAAAATTAGAAGACGTGTGCAGAGATGACAATCAGAGCATTTCCTTTCCTTGGCATTGATGATCCAAAATATTCAACATTAGGTTCTAGCACTCCTAATTCAAGATTTGAATTCAAGATCCTCATCCTCACCTACAAGGCCATTCACGGTCTTGCTCCCTCCTACCTCTCCGACCTACTATCCCCCTACCTACCTGCCCGTACCCTCCCCTCCGTTCCTCTGGCTCCGGTCTGCTCCACATCCCCTGCCCCAACCGCCCTACCATCGGCGGCCGGGCCTTCAGCCCCTCAGCCCCTAGGCTCTGGAACTCCATCCCCTTTGCCTTTGCCTTGCTTCCTCCCTTTCCTCCTTCAAGGCTGGTCTCAAGACCTTTCTCTTTGACCGTGCCTTCAGCTCCCCTCTCGACTCTCTACCCCCTCCTCGCTCCCTCCCTTCCCTCCCCTCACCCTGACCATTTCCCCCCTGCTCGGGTCCTGACCCAACTGTCCAGCGCCTTGGGACGTCCTCCTGACGTGAAAGGCGCTCTATAAATGGAATCTTGTTGTTGTTGTTGTGTATTACTTGCTAATAAATTTTCAGATTATTTTGAATTATTCTATAAAATAGAGCACAAAATTCTCTCTTATGCTGTATCACCTCTTTGTTCACAGGTCTCAAGACTTCTTGCCCTACATTTTTGATCTTTATCCGGTAAGTTCATCCTAAATAATCCTTCTAAGACTGTATTAGCATTAAAATGGTAGTGCATCTAATGGTACAATATAGATAACAGGTGAGTCAAGAGTGTGTGACAGGGATGAACTGTAAAAATATATGGATGATGGCTTTCTAAGATACTAGATTGAATCTCGGGTAGTTTATACAGTCAATAATATATATAGTTATTGGTGTGCCAGATTCTATAACAAGCTGGCGAATTAATATTTTATATGATGACCATATCATTAGAATCAAAGTACCATAGACATTTACAGCACAGAAGGAAGTAATTCAGGCCATTTTACCTGGTTCTCTGAAATAACTATCTGTTTAGTGCTAAGTAGACCATTCAATATCCTAACAACCTTCTACAAATTCTCCTAACTTCTTCTCCCTTTGCTATTCTACATTAAACCTATGCCCTATAGTTACGTATGAAAATAAATTTTGTTGCAATGTCAATTTAAGAAAGTTTTTTATACATTGATATTACTCCATTTTTATAGACACTACACTTCAAAATACTTTGCAAAGTAATGGAATATACGGTACAAATAACCACCAATTTTGTAACCAACAATTGTAACCATTTGGTATGCAATCTAAACTATGCTTCTGCCAATGCTCTGAGCAACATTAAGTGCTTTAAGTAGTAGCTTAAAAATAGTTCCTTCGACAATTATGCTTAAGAATTTTATACTTAGTATTGAATATAGTTTAATTTTCAGTTTGATTGGGTCATGCTGTATCTTTTATGGAAACTAAAGAAATAAAACAGATTTTCCCCCCTTGTTTTAAACATTGCTATTATGTTTTATGATATTCCCTAATATTGTATTGTTTTGCTACAAATGATTACAGGATAGAGACTATTGCGTAATCACTGTACCTCACGTGGTACCAGAATTCCCTCTGTTGAAGGAGTTTGTCCGAATTACACCCTACAGCAACACCACATTGCCTCACGAGCTCTACATCGCTCACCGCAATAGCTTGCTAAAGTAAGCAGTTCTTAAAACCACATTATGTTTTAATCCTTTAAGACTGCTGTGAAACTTTAGTTTTAAAAATACCAGGTTTTCATGGCCCAATGCTACAGTTTGATGACATTCTAAAACGGTGACAAACAAAGATATTCCCACAAGGTAAGCACAAGAATAAGTAGTTAACTGAGTCATTAGTCCAAAAGATAGTGGCCCATGGAATTGTGAGGAGCATATTAACGTGGATTGGGGAATTTCCACCAACTCATTAACATTTCTAGAGGCCATCAGAGGACTCTTGAAAAAAAAATGAAGATATTTGCCATGAAGTTTTAAATTGTTAAACCATTGTTATTTATAAGGAGAAGTGGATTTATGATATTAATGATAGTATATTATCTTTTTACAGACTTTTATAAAACTGTAAACAGCAACTACTGTACCTTTGAAATTTATTTTCTGTTTCCTTCCCAGATGTTTTCTGGTACGGTCAGCATTATCCACTGATGTTCAAGGTGTTGAGAACCTTGTTCGCCCCCTTCATCTTCATGAGAACATTATAGATAACTTAAAACATTATATTAATGCTCGTAGAGATTTTGTAAGTATTGAATCAATTTGTAATATGCTGCTGAAAATAAGATATTGGAGCTGAATTAATCTATTAATTAACATGTTGCTGTATTTGGTGGAATCTAGCAATTAAAGAACAGCAGACATCAATGCACTTTTCAACTCCTTTCAACTCCTTTCAAATTCACTGTAATGGGCCATTTCAGTAGGCAAGGCCTTCAGATGTAAATTCGCTGAGCCTTCCTTTAACTGAACTTTGAACAAAATCAGATTTAATTCCAGAATTAGAATTTTTTTGCCTCTTCCTTTCCACTCAAATTCTTAAAACCACTTCAACTTACTGGTCATGAATTAAAACTTGGGGAAAACAAAGGAACTGTTGAAGAACAAGGGGACCTGAAGCTCAATAACTCATGTTCAGTTTTTCTCTGAACCTTGACACATTGATGTTATCTGTGATTTATATATTTTCTTTTTCCTTCGGCAGGATGGAATACCAATTCAGGCCTTTGTAGCAGTTGTTTTGGATGAGATTGTAGGGGTAGCCATTGTCAGGAACGAAGAGGTAAAGTAATACTGATTTTTTTTCATTTCAGACTGTCACAAGTGATAAACTGGGCACCAACTTATAGAGAAAAAAATTAAACAATATTTATTTGATCTTGAAAATTCAGTTTTGTAAACACGATTCAAAAAGGATCTGTACATATTTGAATCCTGTAGCTAACTATATGTGCGTGATGCCATCCTGTGTGTATTCCTTTCCAACATACATGCAGTGATAGATCTCAGTTTCAATATCCGGGAAGCCAGATTGCGACCAATGGAAGTTTCTGGCATCCATCAGGAAATTTGCTCCAAGCAGAGTGCAGACAAACAACCTGAGAAACCTCTGGGTACCCAGGGGATTCACCATTTATACATCCTGTAGTGAATCTTACAAATTCGACTCCATTGTACATGAAATATTTTTAATAAATTATTCTTAGTTATTTTTTATGCGTAATTTATGCTATTTTTTGTTGGGCAATTGAATCCCAATTCCAGATACACAATGTGTGAGTGTGTATTACTGAGAGTGGTCCATGTCCGCAAACTGAATTTGTTGCATTAATTATAATTCTTGGTTTACAATAAAATAATAATAATCCTTGCATTTGATATAGCACCTTATCACCTTGTTGAGATGTCTCAAAGCGGTTCACAGAATGTATTGTAAAGTGGACTGACTGTTTACTTTGTGGGCGAAACGCAGCAGCCAATTGCGCACAGCAGTGTCCCTCAAACAGTCATGGATTGAGTGAACAAATTATTATTGTTTTTTTTAAGGGGCATTGTTTTTTTTCGTAAGTGAATCAACAATACTTCCCCCCTTAAAAAATGCCAGACTTGATATTTGTATTCTGCAAATACCTGTATCTGGTTGCGAAATTCATGGCAAGCTTGTGAAAGGTGAATAAATCCAAAACCTCCAAGAAGCTGCACTTTGGACCTCAGTATTGACAATTTGGCTTAGATGACACAACATGACAGAAGGTTGTCGGTTCATGTTCCACTTTAATATTTGAGGATTTCAGAATATAATCTGTGATGACTACAGAGAAATGTTGCATGTACAGTTGTTTGGATTATACTTTTAAATGAGGTCTCATCTGCCTGTTCTGGTGGATATTATAGATCCTATTGTACTATTTCAAAGAGCTAAGTGTTCTCCTGGGGTTCTGCTAATAATCACTCCTCATCTTCACTACTCAAGTCACCAAACAGATTAATTAGCCATTCCTCTCATTACTGATGTGGAGTATTATAATATTATGTTTTACTGTCCAATTTGCCTGTATGATAACTATTACACTATAAAGTAACTCTGTGAAATGCTTTGAGACATTTCTTTGTGATAAAGCACTATACCAACAAGTAGTATTGCTAAGGAAAGGAGAAAAGTAAATTATATGTATGTGCCAGTGCACAATAATGACAATTTCCATTTTTTAATGCTTAAAAAAACTCATTTAAAGATGTATTTACACAAATGTAATTACCTCCACTAACTATATGTTTTTTTAAAAACATTTTGCCCTGTAGAAAAGTGAAGGGAATTTGATTTATTTTCCTTTTCCTTCCAGGACATTGAATATATCCGTTCACATTATAATATTGAAGACTTCATCTACTTCAATCATCACAAACGGGAAGAACACGGCCATCTCTATCACTTTGCTGTGAACCCGATATTCAACCATTTCAGCAGACATTTCCTGAAAGAGATCCTCAGGCTGTCCCACAAGTCATGCCTCTACTATCCCATACATATGGCATCCTCACTTAAAAAGGTAAAATTAAAACAGGGACTTAAATCTAGTCCGGATTTCTGGGATAAAACTATCATCTCTCTATTGATTGTAAAGCTTCTATGTGATTGGCAGTGGCAGACTGAGGGGATTGACACACTAACAAACCTGGAGATGTGAAGGGGTTGGGTTTATGATTTGATCATTTGTACACCTTTTACAGCTCACTCCCAGTCACGGTTTCCCACGCTCCCAATTGCTACTAACATGGTTTCTGTCTGTCAGGCTCGTCGCTTAACAGCAGCAAGCCTTCTTCACAATAGGCTCCGCCTGGCCATATTACTAGGCCATAAGCTTCCTTTGTTCTCTCTAACCTTTTTGCCTGGAAATTGGAAGACCCTCCCTTGATGCGGTCCTAGGGGAAAGAGACTGGTCGGCAGGTTGGTTTGCAGCTTTTATACTTGGCTTCACCATCACGCTACCCAGGCACGTGCAAGGGCTCTGTAGAGTAGCCTCATTGCTTTAGCAGGTTCACATAACAGTTCCAGTATCTGTTATAATAATATATTTTTCAAATATATTCTGATATATTTATTTACAAGTTCTTCATTTTGGTGGTATGTCACAATCCCCCCCCACCCAGCTTGGTGTCATCTGCAACTTTTATACTGGTTCTGCAAATTCAAGTCATTAATATATATGTATTAAGTAAGTTTGACCCACTTGATATCTCTCCCCGTTTTGACCTAGCTGCCCTAACAAAGATCCTCTGCTTCCTTCCCTTCAGCCGATTCTGAATCCATGTTCGTGTCTTGCCCTTGATATCTAGTGAGCAGAGTTTGTGTAATCAACCGGTAACAAATTGATCGTCTATATATTTTCTTAAATATAAAATTTCCTTTCAGTCACAGAGTCCCCATGCTCATTCCCTGACTTCTGCTCTTTATTACCTGATTCCTGTGCGTCCAAGAAGGCAAATCATTTATCCATTGAAACAACTTGGTATTAACGTCCCATCAAAGCGAATCTATCAGAATAAGGTGAGTGGCAGGAGTGGTAGAAGGTTCTGACTCTGACAGTTTTGGATCTTTCCAGATGAATAGTATTGCTGTCTAGTATAATGTATATATATATACAATACATATAGATCTGCACCTGTATGAACAAGCTAGGATTGCTAAGGAAGAAGAGAAACATAGACCTAGAAAGGAGTATCAGTCTGCTGCACCTTCACCACCAACTGGGTCATCTTTCATGTGTCACATTTATGGTAAAATCTGCCTCTCTAGGATTTTGCCTCCCCCTCCCTCTGGCTTGGCATTGGGCTCCACCATTGTTAAGCGCTCTGGTGTGGAGGGCGCTGTATAAATGCAAGTTGTTGTTGTTGGTCTTTAAAAGCCAACTAAATACCCATCAAAGACGAGGCCAATCATAAAACTCGAATCCCCTCTCTTTTTTTTAGAGCTGAGCAACAATCTTACTTGATTGCCTATTATTATTTTTATTAGTCGAGGCAGAGCTTCTTTTTATTTTTCAAATGCAGATGATACATACTGGGGATATTTATTGTTGGAGTAGCAAATGGTAGTTTGGGAAGAAATTTAAATGCTATGGGCCCCAAAGAGATTTAAAAAGAGAATGATCAGGAGATACTAATAATAATCCTAGTATTTGATATAGCGCCTTATCACATCTTTGAGATGTCTTAAAGTGCTTCACTGTAAAGAGAATTGATTGAATATTTTGTGGGCAAAATATGCAGCAGGCAATTACACACAGCAGTGTCCCACAAACAGTCGTGGATTGAATGACCACATTTTTTTTGAAGGGATTATTACCCCTAGAAAAGCAATCTGCTAATCGACTAACAACTGGGTTCCTACTTACTGCTAGGTAAACAGAGGCGTGTGGAGGATGTCTTAAAGTTGCCCAACGTTTCGCCCTGCTGGGAATCGAACCCAGGTCCTCTTGCTTGTGAGGCGAGTGCTCTAACCACTAAGCTACAGGACTCCACAGGATAGAAAACATATTAAATGATTAGTTTATGGGATTTATAAGAGTGGTTTCACCACAAATAATATGCCATCCAACACACATCACAAAATTCGCAATCACTCCACTTTTACAGTATATCCTATGTAGCGTTTTAAGACATCCTCCTTACATGAAAGGAGCTGTGTCAAATGTAGGAATTATTATTATTTATTATCTGAGCTTTTGGATTTTGACAAAGACAATACAAAAGATATTTATAGAGCATCTTTCATATCGGGATGGCATCCCAAAGTGCATAAACTTAAGGTGCTGAAAACTAATAAATTCCCCAGACAGATGAATTTTAGTTAACGGTACTTAATGATACTTAAAGAGACAAGAATGAAGAAATTGTTACAAATTAATCAAATTAATACCAGTGAGATTTTTACAACGGGAAACAAGCAAATGTGGCTTTTATCTGTAAAACACTGTAAAAAAAAATACAACAGTTGGCTGGTTGGCTTTTAATTGTGATCACTCCCTGTGTGTGTGTTGCATTCATTAGATTGTGTTAATTGATTTTTGAAGTAATTTATATTAATCTATTTAATCCCAAACTCTCTTAGGCCAATTAGTATGTGCTTTGTCTAACTGTGAGAGAGGTGATTACTGAAGCTTGACATCTGTAGGCATTAGAGTACAGAGCGTGCCATGCTCTGTTCCTCTGTACATTGTGTTGTACATGAGTCATCCAAGGAGATAATGCTAACTGCTCAGGGGTATTGGAATACTACAATTAACATTGACTCACCTTTTGACAAATATCATGAAGAATACACACGTTAAAAAAAACATAATGTAGATTATGATACCTTACCCCCATTTGAAACCAGGCCATAATTTGATAGCCTATATACTAGACATAACATTTCCCTGCATTACAGGTCGTTTCTCAATAAATTGAGAGTGATGACATTTCCAGTTAATACATCATCCAGTTAATAAATCCTCCAATACGTGTTAAATCTTACTTTAAGCAAACTTTACATTAGAAATAGAATTTAATTATTGTTATGTGGAAACGAAGCATTCTGATGGCTATCTCCCTAAGCACAAAGGAAATGATGTTCAGCATAGCTTTGTTGCTTATCTTACACAATTGAATAAAATGTTTTCATCTGCACTGCACCTAAAAATTTAAAATTTGTCACAGGTACAATTAGAGCTGGACCCAGTTGGTAGAACTCTCCTTTGAGTCAGAAGGTTGTGGATTCAAGCCCTATGTTGAGATTTTGAGCTCGCAGTCTTGACTGACACTCCAGTGCAGCGCTGGGAAGTGCTGCTTTATCATTTGGACCTTCAGACTGTCCCATTTGCTTGTTCAAGTGCATGTTAAAAATCCCATGGCACTATTTGAAAGAGAAGGGAGTTTCTCCCAGAGTCTTTGCCAGCAATCTCCCAAATAAAATAGGCCATTCATGGTATGTGGTTTGTGCAACATTGCTCCCTCGTTCCCCCGGAGATGTACAGTCATTACGCTTTACAGCAAATCTTGTGAAGACCTTTGAGATGTTTCAAAAGTGTGTTAAATTGCTGCATCAAATTCAAGGATTATTAATCAACATCTGCATAAACCTTTGTGCAGTCTGTCTAACTGGCTTAAATTTCAGATTTAGGATTTCATGGAGGGGTGTATCTAGTTAACATAATATGTTACATATTAGAAATAGAGTAGATATAGGGAGTTTGGATTTGGATATACTAAATGTACCTCTCTATGAAACTCAGCTTTCATTACTTTTATGATAATCAAAATGCACCTGATTTTAAATTTGCAGTTAATACTTGATATGTATGAATTGCTGCTCAAATTATCTTATTTAAGTTATTCTTCCTGCTTTTTTGCTTGTCTAAAATATGGTAGTTAACTCTGTTTTTGTTATTGATGGTGATCTGAACCAGTGAAATACATCATACGCTAATCAATACAAATAGTAATCAGCACATCATAATCCTAAATGTGTGTATTGTGTTGCTCAATAAATAGCCAAAATATATGTAACTTCTCACATGTATACCATGAAACAGTTGTCAATCACATGATTGTATTTGTTAATGATGACTTTAAAATAATGCCATCTCTTACATATTTCCTTTCAGATAAAGTATGCTCTAAACCATATAAATAGAAAGTTGACTCTGGAGCCTAAAGTAACCATCAATTGTCGAATTGTTGTAGTTGGTGCTTCAGAGGTTGGGATCTCCTTCCTAGAAACAATGGTTCTCAGGTAACTTTGCATTTGTAGTTTGTCTGCTGAAGATTAGCTGCTGCACTTCCCTTGTTAATAACTTTCATGTCCTTTTTAATTAATCTAATTTTGTGAAATATTTAGAGATTTTTCTTCAGTGTAAAAGGTGCTACCTAAATGTAGATTGTCAGATATATTGTAATGGTTGTTTATGAGATGATAGATGATGGATAGTTATCTAAAAATCAGCAGAATTTTGATTTATTTTAACTCACTCAATTATATACAGATGTTTTTCCTCACCAGTATTCTTCACTCTTCCCCTTGAATGCATTTGACTTATTTTTCCATTTGAGGTACAGCTCCATAAGTGCCATCCAATATTTTCCCCAAGTAAGAAAACATTAGTTGCATTTCCCCTCCAGAACCCAGGGTCACTGGGGCCAATTGGGTGCGCCACAGCACCACTGCCTAAAATCAACTAATTCTGAACAATTCAGGAATTAATAGAAGGTTTGGAAATAGTTGGAAAATCATTTGACTGTTACTATAGAATTATCAATTATTTTTATTCGTAAATTCAATTTTAAAAAGTCATATGGTTTTATTATGTTTTGCTCCGATCAATAATTCAGTTAGCATGTTTTTACCCAATGTTATTGCGCTTTGAACTGTTTAACATTTAATGTTATGATTGAACTGTAGCATACATTTGCAGGTAAAGACCTGTACAAGTCACTTGTTACAAAACATCATAATCAGAAAATCTAATTAATTATGACATTATTTTGTATTAATCGTTTTTGTGCAATGGATGTCACAGGTTTACTAGGATGATACCAGGTTACTGCCATCAGGATAGACTGGATAGGTTTTTTTTTACCAGAGAAGAGGGGGCTTAATATAAATGTTCAAAATAATAAAAGATTACGATAAGGCCAGCATAAATATTCCCACTGCTTTGGGAGTCCACAATAAGGGGACACAAGTACAGGATTGCGACTCAGGGACCTAAAAGAGAATTTAGGAGGAATTGTTTCATGCTGAGGGAAATGAGATTGTACAACTCTTTACATGAAGTAGTGTTTCAATCATATAGTATAATTTTATTTAAGAGGAAGCTAGATCTTCACATGGGGTCTAAAGGGGAATAGAAGGATATTCGCCTTAGCTAGTCATCACCAGAACTTTATTTAGTTAAATGGATAATCTCTCCATCTCTACCCCTTCCCATCTGAGTAGAAACAAATACACTGGAGATTGTTAGATATAATTCAACAACCCCACCCTTTCCCTTCCCCTTGAAAAGGTATTGCACTATCCTCTGGTTGGATCCACCACTCATATGGCTAAACTGTCATTCTATTCCAGGAGTCCGCAATACCGGAATTTACTCTGGCGCGTTTTGGATCTTGGCTAGATAGTAAGCTGCCTTCAAATCAAGCGTAGTTAGGTTAACCTGAACATAGAAAATCTATACTGTACTGACATTTTCAATAATTGCCTTCTTTGCCAATGTGTGCAGAATAATGGGCAGTTATTTTGCTGTGGGTCAACCTCATAGGCTGCTTGGATGGAGCAGGATTTCAGCCCATTTTCTCATAGCCTTTCAGAATGCCCACTTTCTTTCTATAACAACCAACCCATTGCACTGACTGGCTCTCACAGCTTTATGTGGTCGTAGCTAAGTACATTTACAATTGAAAAATATTCTAAAGATCATCCATCATCTGCATCTGCTTGCTAGTTTTAAATGTTTTTCAAATAACAAAACATGCTTCTAACAATCTTAAAGATGTATTTATTATTGTGTTAAAGTTGCATATATACTAATGTTCATTGAAACTCAACTCTATGCTGCAATTACAGATATTATACTGTATATTGTTTATATATTACTTTGTTGCAGTCCACACCTGCGGTTTAATAATATTACTTTGATCTCAACCCATGGGATTATGGGACCCAGTTCCCGAATGGCCAGATATAGAAAATTCCTTTCCACAAGGTACGTACAACTTGTAGAAATTATGTGGCATGATTCTGGTCTTTGAACCAGTTCCTAACATTTATTAAAAAAATGCATGATTATCAAGTTGCATGAAAGTGGAGGCAGAGAATGAGAATAAACACATTCTCTGATTGGCAGATAGTGACAAGTGGACTTCCCTAGGGACAGAGCTGGGGCCATAGCTATTCACAACATATATAATTGATTAGGATGAAGGAATAGAGGGCTATATATTAAAACTCGCAGATGGCACAAAGCTAAGCCACAAAACAGGTCATAGTGAAGGAAGCAACACATTGAAACAGGATATACAGTAGGTTGAAATATGGCAGATAGAGTTTAATGCGGCAAAATGTGTGGTACACTTGAACACTAACAATGGAAAAATCTAAATGATGACAGTTTAAAATAGGATTAATAGGAGTATATTATTTCCACTGATCAGATAGTCAGTAACAAGCAGCCAAAAATTTAAGATAATCACAAACAGAATTAAAGTGAGGTAAGAAAACATTTCTTTGCAGAGACGGTTAGATTGGGAAATTTTCTCGCACAAACAACAGCTGAAACAGTGTACATAAATTCTTTATTTAAATATTTGTTATACCCTCTAGCTGTTATTTAAACCACTAATATTTCATTATTAAACCTTCCAGTATTGTGTTAACCCTTACCATGGTGGAAAACCATGGTGACAAAATAGGGTTTCACTGGTCTTCATATTCTGAGTAATCCCTAGAAGACCGCTGCAAAAAATAGATTTAACACCAATTCTCTCTCTCCACAGCTACAGCTATGACTATGAAGACCTTGCACTGATGGCATTACAGACTTGGGTTAATGTGGTGGTCGGCAAGATGATTGGTATAGATAGGGCTGCTAAACACGTACTAGTCACAGGTGACAGAAAAGTGTCATATGAGCATTTAGTCATTTGTATTGGACATCAGTATCAGGTAAGTGTTTATAAGTTAGCACCCACAACCACCCAAAATATTCGGTTGTAGTCTGAAGAAACAACATATTGAATTGGGTGTGGGGAAATTTCATGTATACATATTTCTAGCTATTTGGAAAATATATATTTAAATTTTTAAAATATGCAATATTTACTGTATAAATAATGTGGAAAATAATGGGTGTTTGGGGATGTGCAAGGTGTGGAAATATTGTAAAAGTTGTGTATGATCGGAACCCCTAAAGTCACTCTGTTGTTAGTCCCACCTACTTTATTTATTACAGTATTTCTTATATAGCATATTACTTATAATGGAAGAAATTAAGTCTTTTGTATGATGCTTTGTGAACGTGTTGAGGTGTTTTTTGTGTCACTGCGACATAAGGGGGCTCTCCAGATCCTAGAGGCAGTGCAGAGGAGAGCAACGAGGATGATCTCTAATGCTAGTGGAATGAGCTTTAAGCAACTTTAAACAAGTTGAGTTCTTCAGCTTTTAAAATAGATGTCTTAGAGGGATCTAATACAAGCATATAAGATATTAAATGAGATTGAGAAAGTAATCCAAAACAATGCTTTAAAATATGCCAGGGCAGCAAGACAAGCGAGCACATATTCAGGTTAGCAAAGAGCAATTTTAGGACATACACCAGGAAGTATTTCTTTACCTTGAGGATAATTCCTGGTAACCCTTGAACCGGTTACCAGAAAGAGTCAATGAGGTCAGGATCCTGGACTCCTTTAATAAACAGTAATGGGAGGGAGGAGGAGTATTTTCTGGAAGGAGATTAAATGAACAAAAGGGCATTCTTCATTCAAACTGATTTTGTGATATCCACTGCAGATTAGACATCCGGGTATGCTTAAAAAAGAATGGTATTATGGCCCACCTTTAAGTAGGAATTTATCAAAGAAGCATAATATGAATGTCCACATTGGTAAAATTTGGTTTAGACAAGAAGGAATGAAAAATTTTGCCGAGCAATAATATTAGATCTCAAGATTGTTCTTCAGCCAACAAAATCTCATCCCTCTAGAACACCCACCCTACCATCCCTTCATCACTGCATCAAGCTGTTTTTTAAATGAGTCGGCCACCTCTCCTGGCAACCTGTTCCATTCATTGACTCTGTTATCTGTCCAGAAATTGCCCTTTACAACTCTAAACATATGTCCTTCTGTTCTAATGTCTTGATATATTCTAACGTATTAATAATAAATCTAAAAAAAATTGGTTTGACAATCCTGCTTGAACTATATCTAGGTTTATATCCAGATTATTTTAAAGTAATTTCTGTATTGGACAGACTCCTTGTCCTACAGGAGCAGACATTACACTGATGCCGACTAACAATGACGTGACTGTTAATCCTGACCAGCGCTACAAATGGAAAGTGCCCTCAAACCTTCTCATCATGAACAATGAGATCGACTGCCAGAATGCTCTAGCTTGGATTAAAAAAAATGAGCTGACATCTAAAGGTATAGCTTTTAAATGGCTGAACATTTTATCAATGTTTTAGATATCTTATTATATGGCGCATTTACTGCATATTTAACACAAATGTTCTGTGGGCCTAAGGTTACCAGAAGTGTAAGACATTTCCAACATGGATCGGCTAGCTTTCTTTGCTAAATAATGGCTGATTTTTGGATCATCGGATCCTGCTGAAATCACTTCCTGCACACTGCATATACGCACATGGGTGACACAAATGGTGACTTGACGACTTAGAAATGGGCATTTTTTTTTGCTCTTCATTCTAACGCAGGGGATTGAATTTAGTAACTCAAACTACTGCCTTATAACAGTTTTGCAGTGCTCTAAATATTACAACTCTACACCAATATAATTGTCTACATATCGATCAATTTAATTGTCATGGTTATATTGTACTGTAATTATTTTTAGTCAAAGAAAAATGTAAATTTTTTTTAAGGATTCTAAGAAGACTTGTCTTTTTGCAGGAAATATTATTGTGTATGGGAACTCAATTGATACATATTGCACAGTCGAAACACTCTTGACTATTGGAGTCAGTGGTTTCAACATACACCTGGTACAACCACCACTAAAGTCCAACATCACTTGTTTTAACAACTTGGAGATCGAAAGTGCAATAAAAGCAGCACTACAGAAGGCCAATGTTTCAGTGTATCCCAACAGCATACTTGCTAAATGGAATGATGGGAAACCCATCTCTATCATAACTTCTGCATCTTTCACCACTGATACTAAACCATTTACTCTTCCTTGTTCGGTAAGTTTAAAAAAAAAATTTTACAGCAGGAAATTTTTCAGACTATTGAGGGGGTGGGGGGGAGATCCAGAGCGATGAGCCAGAATATCCGCCGGAAATTGCCAGTACCCACGTTGTAATTGTTTGCACCCCACAAGCTGAGTCTGTTTGTGGGATTCGTGACCCCATCACTTCCACCCTCCCGCCCGACTCCACTGGCTCCCCATCCCTCAGAGGATCGAATTTGAGATCAAATTCCTCGTCCTCACTTTCAAGACCATCCATGGCCTTACTCCCTCCTACCTCTCTGACCTGCTGACTCCCTACCAACCTGCCCGCTCCCTCCGTTTTGGCTGGGCTGTTCTGGCCTGCTCCATGTCTCTCGCCCAACCCGCCCTACCATCAGTGGCCGGGCTTTCAGCCTCTCTGCCCCGACACTCTGGAACTCCATCCCACAGACCCTTCGCCTCGTCTTCCTCCCTTGCCTCCTTCAAGGCAAGTCTCAAGACGCTCCTCTTCGATCGTGCCTTCAGTCGCCCTTCCACCTCTCTGCCTTTCCTCACCCCTACCCCATCCTTGCCCCATGCTCGGGTCCTAACTCCTGACTGTCCAGCGCTTTGGAACGTCCTCCCGACGTGAAAGGCGCTCTATAAATGTAATTTTGTTGTTATTATACAGATGGAAACATCACCCTTCACTCTCCTTTGTTAGTTACTTTTTCAGTTTTTAGTTAAATTTGTCAACCTGGCTCAGTTGGAAGCACTTTCACTTGTGAGTCCAAAGGCTGTGGGTTCAAGTCTCACATTGGGACTTTGAACTGAAAGTATAGACTGACACTTCAGTGCAGTGCTGTGGTATACTGCATTATTGGATGTATCATCTGTCAGATGAGATGTTAAACCGAAGTCTCACCTGCCTGTTGAGATGGATATTAAGGATGAATCCCATGGCACTAATCACAAAGAGAATAATAATAATAATAATCCTTGCATTTGATATAGCGCTTTTCATGTCGGGAGGACGTCCCAAATCGCTTCACAGAACACACTGTAAAGTGAATTGACTGTATATTTGTGGGCGAACGCGGCAGCTAATTGCGCACAGCAATGTCCCACAAACAGTCGTAGATTGAAAATGACCAATTTATTATTGTTTTGGGCTTTTGGAGGGATTATTATTAGGCGTGTGGAGTAAGAAAACATGCCCAAGGTTTCGCCCTCTGCCTGGAATTGAACTCAGGTCTCTCTCACTTGCAAAGCGAGTGCTCTAACCACTGAGCTACAGGACTCCACTGTTTCTCAGTATGTTTCTCAGAAATGTTAAGGCCAATAATCATCCAAATAAAATTAGTCTTGGCTGTTTGTGTGTATGAAGAATACCTGAGGGAGAAGGGAATAGAGGGTTTTTGGAAAGAGTATTCTCTAAGGTGAAGCCTCATTTGGAGTATAAGTACTCCAGCAAGTTCGGCAGAATGGCTTGCATCTCTGCTGTAATATTTTCCATAGTTCTTTGTAATCTAACAGGTCACAGTCTTGTTTTATGACGTAAACAACAATAGGATTACATTTGTATAATGCCTTTCAGCTGCATTCGTTAAGTTATTTTTAAAATCCTGCCCCCCCCCCCACAAATTCATTAACCTTGTCAGCCATATATGAATATTTGAAATAGCATCTTAGTGCTTAAAATCTTTCAATTAGTTGCATTTGAGATAACGAGTATTTAATGAACTACAATGACTGTTTAATACATTCAGTGATGTGTAAAATGTGCTCATCGATGCATGGTACATAGTTCATGGATCTTGATGGCTTAATTCACACTTCCCACTGAATTCCTTGTTAGCAGTCTGCCCTCGCTGTTTTTACCTTGCTTTGTGCAGAACGTATTGAAATTAAATCATAGACTTACGATATCCACAGGTCCTATTTATTTTAAATGACAGTTAAATAATCAAAATAATTTGTTCGCCCTGACACTTGGATTCCTTATTTAGAAATCCCATTAGAACTCAATGTATATTAGATCTCATTACATCTGTTATTATAGAAAGATATCTGCAATTGCTTTGCTGAATTAAATATCCGTTTTATACCCCACATACTAACGCCCTTATTAATAGCTCACAGCCAGATGGTTGGTACAGTTTACTTAAGGGACAATAGTGGCTGAATTTTATGGATGATGCCAATTGTCCCATCTTTTTCTCAATACAGGACAACTCCATTATAAAGTGATAATTGGGGGGTCAATAAAATTCTAACCCATTTTATAATAGGATGACAGGCAGTGCTTCCACATCATGATGTTGCGAATCACGTGTTCAGTGGCATCACTGTGCAAGCATGCAGAAAGCTATCTGACAGGCTGCTCTCACATAACGCACTGCTTCATCAGCGCACAATTGTTTTTAAAAAAAAAAAAAATTTTTGTCACTCAATCTACAACTGTTTATGGGACACTGCTGTGCGCAATTGGCTACCGCGTTTCGGCCACAAATTATACAGTCAATTCACTTTACAGTATACTCTGTGAAGCACCTTGAGGCGTCTAGAAGACGTGATAAGGTGCTATATCAAATGCATTATTATTATTATTATGGCTCTTCAAATCACATTTTTGTGCTTATAATCACATTCAATCACACTTGAAATTCCATTGTTGCTTGGCACAATTTGGAGCACAACAGTGGCATTTGAAGATGATATAATTTGAATTGCAACAATATGATTTGAAGCATAATATGAAATGCGACAATGGAGTTGGGGAAACAATTTGGAATGTTTAGGTCACAACTCAATCATATTATAAGTGAACTTGGGTTATAATCGTGAAATGCTCTTTATCAAATGCAAGGATGATAATTATTATTTATTATTATAATGGGGTTCTACTTTATAAAATAACAGATATAAAATTACAGTAAACCTGTTTTTTGCAACCACTCATAGGATTCAACTAAAGTGGCCTTCATGTCAGGGTTGTCTATGGGTAAGGGTTCATTGGTTCGTTGACCAAACCTGAAATTGTTTTTTTTTAATTTCAATGGACCCACTTGTATACCACCTGTTAGACTCCTAGCCCATTTACCAATGCTGCGTAACCGGTGATGTGGAAAACTGAGGGCATCACATAGGCTGCACAGCGTGGCATTGTTAAATGCGCTAGGAGTCTACACGTGGGCCCGCAGAAGTTGTCAGTGCATTACTGGAAAGTATACTTAAGTTCACTTTAAGCTGGCTGCTGAAAAAGTTGTCTATACACCACCAGCATTAAAAAGGAGTAGCCACTGTTTGCATTAGACAGGGGTTGCTGAATAGAGGTGGTTTATTATAGACAATCAGTCAGGATTGTTCCACAGTAGTTGTGGATAGCAGGTAGTTTCTGATTGAGGTGGTTGCTTCAAACAAGCTTGACTATATTGGGTAGAAGATCCTACAAAATAATTATAATTTTTAAGGTTTTATGACTTCTAATGTTCATTACATTTTTAGGTTTTCTTTAGCTTCTACCCAAAGCAAGAGGATTATGATGCATTCCTAGCTGTCAATAATGCATGGCTTGTCTACGATGGAAAACTAGTAATCGATACGACTTTTCATACCAATGATGCAACAATCAGGGCTGCTGGGCCTTTTACCAAGTTTTCCCGGCGCTACTATTTCGACCAATGGTCTCATGCCAACTTTAATTCAAAACAAGTTGGGTTTCAGCTGGCATCAATCATGCTACATCTGTTTGATCCCACTTTGAAGGAGCTGGTTGAACCACCAAAAGAACTAGATCAACTCGTTCCGATGTACACTGGAAGCAAATCCGTAGGTATGTATCTAAAATACTTGGAAAGTTAATGTTGTCTTCTCTTAGACTTCTGAGTAAGTATTGGCTCTTATTATTTATCAGGATAAATTACTGCAAAACATGGGATTAATGATACATCCATGCAATGGGGGTAAATGGGAGTTTACCACCAGTGCAAATCTGACAGATTTATTGCTACTTACAGGTAGAAAAAGAGTTCACCACTGGTGGTAATTATTAGATTATGGTTTATGATCAACTGTTATTCTAACTCAGTATTACAACAATAACAAAATTACATTTGTATAGCGCCTTTCACATCGGGAGGACGTCCCAAGGAGCTGGACAGTCAGCGTTTCGGACCCAAGCTGGGGGTCGGGATTAGGGAGGGTGGAGGGCAGGGGGGGAAGGAGGGTGATCGAAAGCACCGTCGAAGAAGAGGGTCTTGAGATGGGTTTTGAAGGAGGCAGTGGAGGAGGCGAGGCGGAGGGACCATAGCGTCCTTGGTGATGGGGGGGTAAATTATAATTAAAATGGTTAATTCACTTTAATCCATGATTGTGGTTTTAGTTGACATTTCAGTCTGTTTGCTGTAAATGTACTTAGTTATGTCAGTTCTCTTATGAGCCTGCCATGGCCTAGACAACTCACTCAATGTATCTCCATTTCACCAGCGTCTCACCTCTCAGATATTTTCAATTTAATTTAGATTTCTCATGAGTCAATATGATGTATGTCTGATTTCTGCACCTTATTTATCCTCTCTTGCCCCACCTCCACCTCCCTCCCCACCCCAATTTTAATAGGAGGCTGTCTTCCAGGAGGTTACTATTACCTTCATATTGCTAAACCAGGTCTCAACAACATAATTTTGGAAGAACAAAGAGCACTACCTTCCTACGTAAGTATTATTAAAGAGACATCAATCTGATAATCACTAAGCACATTTTAGAAAAGTAAAATATTGCACTGAATAAATGAGATACACAAAGCCTGAAACTCCACCTCATCTTAGCATTTACGACCATTTTAAAATTAAAATTAAAACTCCACAGAACTGGAAAATTCTTAGATTTAGTCTGAATTTTGGAAGCTGGTTTTCCTCAGTTCTTAAAAAGATATGGCTTCCAAATTAAGATTACATTTTAAGAATTTTTAACAATTGTGTAACTAATTAAATTTTAAAATACCCAGGCTTACATTCTAAAACTAGGTAGAATATCAGGGCTCCTGCCACACAAAGCAAAAAGTGATGTCAAACAAACTAGCCAACTAACCAGGAAATCAGCATTTTCATTTTCCAGGCTAAACTAAATGACCGACTTACGAGTCGCAGGATATCTCATCACCAACATATCCAGCACCATGGGATGTTCTCCCAATGTAAAAGGCACTATATAAATGTAAATTTGTATTGTATTGTATTTTATGAGTTCCCCAATAGCGCATGTGCATCAAACAGGATGTGACATTTGCAGTGATTCCGATGACCTAGAAGTTATCAGTTTTTTCTTTTAGAGCAGAAGCCAGCTGAGTGGGTGAGTTGATGGATTGAACATAGAAGCAGTTAAACCCACTATCATGCCTTAGAATGGTACAAGTTGGGTTTATGGATCCCAAGCTCCATGATATCGGACCTCCACTGCAATTTGGCTGCCGCCCACAAATATACAGTCAATTCACTTTACAGTATATCTGTAAAGCGCTTTGAGATGTCTAGAAGACATGAAAAGCGCTATATCAAATGCAAGGATTATTATTAAGAAATACGATAAAGCACAACCCACATTTATTTCATGTTTTCTGATTGCCTGCCTTCTTAGCGCATGAAATGTTTTTCTACATGTAGCTATCGATCCTGAGACCAATATTAAAAGGGAGTTGAATAAACATTTGAAGAGAAACAATACAAAGGGTTATAGAGAAAGGGCAGAGAACGGGATTAAAATATTTAGCTCCAGCTCACACAAACACAGGCTCCATAGGCTGAATGACCTACTTATGTGCTGCAATTTTTTTGATTCTCCAGGTTAAAACAAAATTTGCCAGTGTTAAATTTTCAATCAGAATTAAGATCTTTGGCACAATCCAGTCACCATATTTTATGGCACATTGGTAGATAAACTTGCCATGGAAGGAAATTGACTTGGCCAAAAACAGCATGAACTGTCATCCTTGTGTATTTCAGTTGAATCTAATGATGCACTGTAATCTTATTGGGAATCTTATTGAGAAGACAATTTTGAAATTCAATCAAATAATTTCTAACACCATTTTACTGGATAGTTTCCTTCTACAAGAGATACAACATGAGTTCTGTTGGCTGCTGAAGTTTTCAGTGCTCACATATGTAATGATTGTAATTGACTTGCTCATGTGACACCGAGTTACCATATAATGGTGTCACCACCTCCAACACTCAGACATTTTTTCCTTAAAGATGTGCATCTATTATTTTGGAACAGCCAGTTGCATGCAATATTCATTTATTTAATGTTAATTTTGCTTAATTATATAAACACTCAGAGATTAAAAAACATAAGGAATATGGGGAAAGAGCTGAAAAATAGGATTCATAAAAATGTGATTTGATAATACCTATAGCAGTAACATAGTCCTGATGGTTCTATGTAGAAAAAATCAATGTTTCTAATTTTATACGTTTCATTAATATCTGCATGATGTATCTATACGTAATGTATACAAGTAACAAGACGGGTCCCAACACAGACCCCCCATTTCGGCCTAACTCTTATAAAGACTACAATCTTCTTTCTTCACTTTAGCAATGTATTTATCCACATTGATGTCTTATTGATACTGATTGAAATCAGTTGGTAAAGGATGCTCTCATGCAGTACTTTCTGAATTCCCATTTGGAATTCTTGATGTTTGCATCACATGGTTTCCCATGTTTGTTTGAAGCTGAAAATAGATAGTCTCGCAGAATTATGTTTGCATTTGTACTGTTGGTGCAGGGTAATAGGACAGGAAATATATCATTTTTTATTCTAGGATGCAAGCATTTTCTAGATGCCTCACAAAAAGGATTTATTTGGAGTGTGTGTAGGGGAGGTGGGAGATCATGAATAAACGTTGCCAAAAGGTACCATCTGATTTTGAAGGGCTCAGGTGACGCCATCTGCTGTCTATCGACTACAACAGCAACCATCAGTTTATTTGCTATACAATCATTACAGGAATTAGGGGAATTTTACTGATATGGTATGAGATAGGACACATTTAGGTGTAACTGATTGGCAGTTCCAAAAGACTTATGGGTTCATTAATTCCTCAAAGAATGCACAGAAACAGAATAATGCAATTTACATTGATATACTATATAACCTTTCACACCGGGGAGATGTCTCAAAACTCTTCTACAATTTACTGTGTGAGGATAATGGAGAGATCAGAACACTCTGTGTCATCAAAGTATGGATTGGTTTGAGACTTCTCAGTGTTGAGGGCTTATTGTCTTTATGCTGGTGGGAATCCTCCAAGAATGTCTCATAATATCTAGAGTGCTGACCGAAATCTGCATCTTATGAATTGTGTTGTAGATTTGAGCAGCTTTGTTTGGCAGATTCTAAACACTATCGTTAATCTTACTAGGAACAGACTGAATGACATCATTCACTTTTGCTACAACTTCCTTTAATGGTGACCACAATGCCTCTCCAATTTCACTCAGCTCTGCTCTCAAAGCTGTTTAGATATTTGACTTCCTATCAGAAGCAGCTACAGTGAAATAGAGTAATAATAATAATCCTTACATTTGCTGTGGCGCTTTTCACGTCTTCTAGACATGGGTGCTAAGTAGTTTGGTAACTAATCAGCCAAAGGAGGCACAAATATGTACTTGCTTTCAGATATATAACTCACTTATATATAAATCATTGCACTGATTATTTTGTTCAATTTTTTTAGGGGATTGATTTAATCACAGGAAAGGCGATGGATGGCACTTATTTCCGAGTCAAATTGAGCCAGTACAACATGGTGGATTCTATCACTTGTCTATCACTGAAGCCTTTACCAGTCTCCAACTATATGTGTTTATATCAGCAACATGAACGTGTCTTGAATAATTTACATTCTCGTTTCAATGAAGGCTTGATACTTGATTTCCACAGGTAAGATCTATATCATTTGTGTATATGTTTCCATTTGCTGAATCAACAGTTAATTGTTTATGCAACATAGGGTTGTATAAACAATTTAAGGTTATCCTGCAATTCTCCACATAACGAGTTCCTCATCTCATCTAACCCAACCAAAGGAAGATAGGCTTCCAAGTTGAGTTAGCCAATGTCCAGGAGTTCTGTTATGTGTTAAGTGTAACCTTTGCCTTGGTGTATGCTCATCATTACTTGCTGTCACTTGTCGAACTGTCTGAGCCTTTTTACCACCACAGTTACCATTTCATTTTTGGAGCTTATGATGTCTAGCATCTTACCACTGGTTCCCGATTACATTTTGGGTATCAGTCCACTGCACCCTTGTTCACATTCGGGATGGCGGGGAGGGGGTCTCAAAATGCTTCCACAATTTAGGGTGCGAGGATAATGGAGAGATCTAAATCATTCAGTTGTCAAAGTATGGATTGGTTTGAACCTTCTCAGTGTTTACCGTCTTTATGGGATGGGAAGCCTCCAAGGGTGTGTAGGCCCAAACCCAATTGTTTTAAACAATTAAAACCATGCAAATTTGTATGAAGTAGAAATATTGGCCAGGCCAAGGGATAAATATTTGAAACAGAATTTATGTCTAAGTATAATCTAATAGAAAAATCTTGCAGAATTAGGACATTAAACAGCTCTATGATTAACTGTTCAACCAGATGCAAATAGGGTTTGCTTAAATCTACTTTGCTTTTCAATTATTTTAAGGTCAAGCATCGATATAGAATTTTGAGGTAAATGTTTGAAAGGACCAGTGCAATTCAACATTGTGTCATTCTAACTCCAAACCAGCATCTACAAGTCTTCATGTAAATTTCAGAAATATCCCAGTTAGATCCACTTATCTATACTGATAAAGACAAAATATCTGTGTGTGTCTGCGTGTGTGTCTTTCCGCCAAGAACACATAACTGATTGACGTAGAGGTATGGAGGATTGTCATTGGCATATTTTGGGGGGGGCTCTCCTGTCGTTAGTTAGCTATAATAAACAAAGCCAAAATATGTGGTAAAAAAGTCCCAAAATATGAGGTACTAGCTGCATCCAATACGTGGTATTCTTCAACGAAGTAGTGACAGAGGAAATTACACACCCTTCTATAGAGATACATCAGGAGAGAGACTGAGAAAGGGAAGGAGGGAAGAGAGTGGTGAAAAAAAATTCAATGCTGCATTTTTAAAATTAAATCTCTGCTACCCCCCCAAAAAATACACTGAGTCCCATAATCTCTCAAGGGTAAGAGTTAGGATGTAAGAGAGGGTTTTGGGGGGAAAGGAGTGGGGGAAAGGTTATATGAGTGTGCATTTGAGTGAGTGAGTGAGTGAGCGTATCAGAAGGGAGGGAGGAGAGAGGGTTAAAGTGAAGCTTGAGGCCTGCTCAGACTGACTAAGCACCAGGAGCCGAGCGAGAGATCCCAGCACACCTCACACACCGCAGGTGTGTCTGTTTGCCAATAAAGCAATAACCGATTGATGTAGAGTCATGATTTATACCTCATCGGAAAGGTCTTGCATGGGGGAGAAGTCATGGCCATTTTTTGGATGGGGGAGGATCTCCTATCGTTGATGAACTATGACCGAAACAAGCTCATCACACATGTATGGCAGTTTTGATTAAGGTAAATTTCTGTAAATGTCCTGGCCAAAATTGACCATTTGTTTCATGACAGGTTTGGGGACAAGCTAGCCTCTGTATTTGCCCACAAAATGCAGTCACTTCACTTTACAGTCAATCTTGTGATGCACACTGAGACATCCTCCAACATGAAAGGCATGATATAAAATATAAGGATTATTATAATTATATTATTTATTGTACGGTATTAAACTTTTTTCATATCTTGCATATCTTTCCTTAACTTCCAAAGGATTAGCCAACACAGACACAATAAGCTGAATGACCTTCTTCTATGTTGTAAATTTCTATAGTCCTAATTCTTTGTCCTTTGAGCTTGGTAGATCTCCAATAAAATAAAAACAAATACTCAGCAAATTTAAACAATCTGAAATATACTGTGCACTGGTACAAGAAAAACTTCAGGTTTTAGAAAAACAACATTTGAATTTTAGTAGCAAACATATTTTTATGTTCTGACACTCATTTGTAAACATTGAAAAACATTAGTTGTCCAGACTCATAATTGTACTTCCCTGAACAAGAACACAGGGGCTAATGTTTAATGATAAATGCACTATACAATAAGTATATTCACTAGGTTTTGGATTGGTTGATAACTATACGATAGTGTCATTTTGATTAACAGCTTGGAGCATAGTTCAAATATGGAACATTCCTGCTGGCTGCTATCAACTGCAACTGAATAAAGATTATTATATTTTGTGCAAGATTCATCATGTATAATTTTAGGTGGATGTTTTGTCATGATAATAGGATATTATCAAGGATTATTATTTATGAGCATCCCACCAAATCTTAACCCAGCCATTAACAAGTGAGAATAATTGAATTTATTACAAACAAAATTTTTCCCCCCAAAAAAAGAATAATTGGACACTTGTTTTTTGGTTAGAAATTTAAAATTTTGGTGAATTGATTCAATATGAAATTGGAGGAAATGACTAATAGGGATATCTTGATGTGAAGATCAAGTAATACAGAGTGTTTGTAATTACTAATTCATCACTGAGGAATGCAATGAATTGTGTTTCATCAAATACTCTTCTTACATCATATTACTTTCGGTCATTTGGAGATTATTGTTTAATTTCTAACTGTTCCCATGATCTGGGCCCTTGTCTTTGCTGTGACTTCATTGACAGGTCATAACCCAGATGGTTGGTTCTATGGGATTGCATGTAGGCTATTATTTTAGTGAAAATCCAAGTATGTACATGACCAAATCTACACTTTTCTCTATTATTTCTAGTTCTCCAATTTGCCGGATATTATAATATCACCAGTGAGAATATCACATGCTGCTATATTGACCCAAAAATATCTTATTGCTGATGTTTTGGCTTCCTCAAATATTAACTTACTGATAACGCATACTCAGAATATCTAATTAATTTGTCTACTTTTAAACAAAGTTATTGCTGAAATATAGATTGTTGTAGAAATGTTATGAGAAGTTTGCAATTTGCTTCATGTTTCCTCTGAGATTGTATCCTTTTATTAAACTCAATGCAATCCCAGAGTACACCAACTAACCGTACATGGCCTTTTAATACATTATGGCATCAAAAAAAAACTGGCTTCAGTGCGCATGACGCCCCTCACATTCTTTCTTGGTAAAACTCTCAGGAGCCATTATTAATTAAATGTGATCTTTTTCAGCTATTTTAATGAATCTTGGTGCCTGCCGATTTACCACGATCGTTTCTTCGAGTTCAAAGAAGAAGTCCGAAAGATTGTGCAAGCCAATAAAGTATGTATACAAATCTCATATGTGTTCACTGTTTCAAATGCAACACCATGTTTATTTCATGCCAGTTGTATTTTAACTTTGGTACACAGTAATAATTTTTGAAGCCTTGAATCTTGTTTGATATTCCTCTTTTTCCCTGTGTTTTTATTTCCTCTTTACCCTCTTCTTCTCCTCAACTACAGATAAAGCGTTGACACGTTGTAAATGCTGATTAGGCTGCACTGTAGCAGCAGATAATGCAGAAATCCATCGCTTAGCAACATCCAACCTCTGTCGTTAAATGTTTCTCTTCAGCTAGCTAAGGTGGACTAAATACCAATGGCACTGAAGTGAATGACCCTTCTGCTTACCACTGCTTATTTCTCACATTTTTATGATAATTTGCACAGAGGAGCTCCTGTATGCTCTGTGAGAATATGTTACATTTCTTTATATTTTGCACCTCCAATATGTTAACTGTTACTGTAATTATAAACCATCTGTTCACCTTTCCAATCTTACACCCTGTTGTGATGCTGGCCATTTTTTAAAGTAGGCGGCAAGGGTTCTTTAATACGAGGAAAAAAAAACTTGTGTTCCTTGTAAAAGAAATAACAGATGGTAAGGAGATGGATTATTAAAGTAGTGTGGTTTCCCGTTGATTTTGGCTTGAGTATATATTAGTGGCCCAGTCCATTAATGCCAACTTAAAAAAAACATGTTAGGCTCACATTCAGCTCAGCTGATAGCTGCTCAGACAGGTCTTGCACAAGTCAAGCTATACCCGGCTGGGAAAATTTCCTTTAATATGCTCAGCTTGACTTTCCATTATAAACCCTCTGTCACCTTAATTCCCCTCTGATTGAACTAGGTATGAAATTAGCCATTTCTACACAATGTAGTCTAAGATGAGATCAACATAACTCACGTATATCTTAAAGCACTAGCTACAACTGTAATTGTTCTAATTGCATAGAATTGATGCTTTGAACCCCTACCCTGTAGAACAAAACAGCTGAACTATCTAAAATCAATAATACATGAACCGGGAACATTAATCTGTTTGCAGTTGCAACTATTAGCATTCAGCTAAGCTTCTTAATTCATTGCCAACATATTTTTATATTAAAAAAACAAGTGTAAATCTCCCCCTTCCCTATTGAGCAGAGCTTGCATTAGCTAAGGCTGAGAGAAAGAAGCTAAGACAACTGACCCTTTACTCCACCAGCAACTTTTATCTGGCCTTACTACTCCTGATGCAGTGTGTTATCCGGTTTCACTGTTCTTTGTACAAAGGGTTGTGGTCTCACTAGAGCTGGTGCAATCTGTTAACTGGCTTCACCAGTCCTGATGCAGTACATTGGTGTATGCCATTTATGTCATAATAATAAATAATAATCTTTGCATTTGAGAAAGTGCTTTTCACGTCTTCTAGATGTCAACATAACCTGGTCATGACATCAAAAAAGTCATAATCAGGTTATGTTTTTTTGTACTCCATAGACTATGAATTGAATTCAGTTTTGTTAGAAAGCTAAAATTTCATCCAAAAATGTGCAACAATGTCACCAAAATATGAAAAGAGAATACTGTATTGATTTGTAACTGTTTTAAACCTGAGTTATATTATATCTAATTGTTGCATTAAACAAGTTCAGTTTCCTTAAATAATAATCCTTGATATCCTTGACGTGGGATTGTGCAAACATAAAATATTTCAATTTTTACATTTTAATCCAATTCATACATCATTAATTAAAAATCTTATTAATGACAATATTAAAAAATATTTTAACGAGAATATTGTCCTTCACTTGCTAAATTATAATTGCTAAATTATAATGCGTTTTTTGGTCAACTGGGTGTCTGTTACATATAGAAACCCATCACCATGCCTTTTTGAACCAAAGTCTCCAGATGTGGGAAGGGGACGCTGGTAAATGCTTTGTATTTCTTACATTAAATAGAAATATTTCAGTCTTAAAATAAGGTACTGGTTTGGCTCGTTAACATCAAACCTGTAACTTTGTTCATTCGAATTTTGCTAAAAGTCTAGAATTTGGTCGTGAAATATTTACTTTGCTTCCAAAGACAGATGATGAATCTATCGATGAAATGATCCGTCTGATGACTGAAAATGAGCTGCCCACGAAAACTCCCAAACTATTCCTAGAACAACAATTCCAAGAAAAGGGTTACAATAAGCTGATAGAAAGAGGCGTCCTGAACTTTCTGCACTACAACAACTACCATCTCCCCATGTTTGCATGGCCTGGCATTTGCTAGTCAACATGACAACTTGTACCATACGAATTAACGTGGTCCAAATAGCCACTAAAACTAAAAGTGTTGTTAAAGCATGATGCAAGTTGCTGCAGTGACTGCACACGTCCACACGGTGGTGCCCTGTAGAAGTTCTGCTTAACATCTTCACAATATTTTGCTCTTTTGGGACCTCGTTTCCCTCTTTACTTGACTGTAGCTTTTGATAATATGGATAAAACAAAGAGTGATTGGTTTGTGTTCATTGATCGGCGTAGTAACTTCTACTTTCACCTGAAGACATCTTTCTGATCATTCTTAAACTCAACCAAAATGACGCTGATAAAAGATCACTCCTGATCAGCCCTGAAAACAAGCTCAAAATGATAGTAATTTAACAAATGCAATTATAACCCTATCATTTGCGGGTATTAACCTCCAAACCCTGCAAGCGGCCCGTGAGGTTTATTTCACCCTCTAAATGTTGAGAAGGTGTGGGGTCATTTTAGATGCTTAATGATGAGAATCTCAGTTCTGTCTCTGTGGATCAACTCGCTTTGTTTTCCTGTCGTGGTTCTGGGGGGAATGGCTCACACCGGGATAAACCAAGTGAAGCTCCCGTTAGAATAGGCAAGTCAAATTTTATCATTTGCTTGACATTGCGTTTGCATTCCAAAGCCCTCCAATTTAAAAAGAAGGGATATATATATATATAGAGATCCTGGCACAAATATCCAATTGCAACTGTTTGTGTTGCATAGTTTACTGTCTTTCCTAGGAATAGGACTCCTTTGAGTCCACGAATGAGACCGAATTTAACATTGACCATCTAAGGATGTTTGTTAATAAGCTGGAGGCAGCCCGTTCTGTGTTCAGAGATATAATGTGAGAAGCTGCGCTGGGCACAACTTTCCAGCCTCTGCAATCCCAAGTGAGTGGATGTGGTCAATTTTAAATGCGGTGCAAAAGGAGGCGTTGGAACAATACTGTATAGAAAGTGAATGCGAAATACTGAGATAACTTTTCAGTCTGCACTAAAAACATCTGGAGTTTAAAAAGAGCCCGTGGATTCGGTTTTGTGGCATTTTAGTGAACGGAGGTGTAATGCCCCGAACTCGAAGTCTTTACGTTTTCCTTGTCTCCCTTTGGGTTATTTTTTTTCTATTTTGACCTGGGTATGTGGCCTTTCGGGGATCAAAGTGGGACTGACATTAATCAATAACCATCGCGTCGATTCGGTTACGGAATATCACAGTTTTCACACCGTTTCTTTATTCCCAACATATTGTGGGAAGATATTGTGTTGTGTTTTGGTAGACTGCACACTGCACCCCAAAAACATACAGACACGACAGTGACTTGCTTAGTTGATCTTACATTTCACTGCAAACAGAGTCGCTAAATCGCCGTGTCCCTCACTGTGAAGCCCACGCGAGAAAAATCACATTGCATCCGAAGACTATTTTGTTCACCCCAATAAAACAAAACCTTCACCTTCAACGTTAAAAACGTATTTCAAGGTAAAAGCTTATTTCAAGGTAACAGGGTGGCGTGTGTGTGTGTGTACAACACATCAAATAGCACACACATATATCACACTCGTAACCCCCCGCCCACCCCGATTAAGTGTAAAATAGATGAAGGCAATCTTTTTGGTGATGGATGTAAAACGATGTGCAGATGTAACTATTCCTGTTGAGATTGGTGTGTGGCCCTTGCAACTCTGCGAATTTTTTTTCTCTCTCTCTCGCCGGGCTGCGTGCTCTCAGCTTCTGGTGATAAGGCAAGTCCTAGTGTGTACTTTGGGAAGGAGCCTTAAGCCACATAGCAACCTGCAGCTGTATGTTAATGAGGCTGTGTGCAATGGAGCAGCCACACAAACCAACCAGGACATTTAGTACCGACTTCAGCCAATAATACCTCTGGAATCAGCGGCGAAAGTCAGAATCCCCTCCAAAAAAATATTCTTATCTGCCGAAAGCTATGTTGGAAAGACATTAACAATTTTAACAAAGAGCATTAGACTTTAGGATTAATTGTGTTCAATTGCAACTGTATAAAACTTTTTTTTTCCAGAGATGAGGAATAGCGAAACATGACTGAATGTTGAGAGCACAAATACTGCAATGAAAAGTTGATTAAAAAACCTTGAAAAACTAAGTACAGATGCATAACTCTAAACGTGGTGTATAAATTATAATCGCTTGATTCCTATACTTTGTATAGAAAGTGATTTCCAATGTATCTACTGTGGGTAATTGGTCTCTGAATTTATGTTCCTGAAATGAACAATGCACCAACTCTCTCCTGGTGTCCGGAGAGGATAGCACACGGGAGAGATAATTCACCAGAAGGGATCCGATATGTATGGTGATTTGTTTCATATCCCAACACTTCATTTTAGAGAGCCATTCTGTAACCAGGGCATTGGAGAAATCATAGTTTGCCACTACCGATCGCTTCATAAACAAACTTCAAATAAAACGAAGATTCAGCAGGAAAATGGGAGGGCGGTCTTTTTTTGAGTAATATATCCATTTGCTTTTTTCTCTTAGATACCCACATTTCAATCGCGTACATGCGACGTATAGATGGAGTAAAATTCAGATTTTAGTAGAAAGTCAACATAAAAGTATTGTCTGCAAGAAATATCCGATTTTCCCATTTACTCAGATAGTGCTTGAAGTACAAGCACCAATTCCTTGAAAAGGTCGTTTTTAAGTTCACAAATGAGATTCAAATGTGACGGGATCCCCGAGGACGCTGAAGTGATAAAGTACTGTGAGAATAAGTACAAATAAAGGTTACCTCAAACACATTTATTTTTAATCCAGAAATTTACCCCCCAAAAAATCGCATGGAGGTGAACAACACAACAGCATCCAAGTTTAAAAGCTGCGTCTTGAACATTTCAAACATGCGGTTTGCAAATAGTTTCACGTCGTACGATGTACGCAAACACTTTTCCATATTATTTCACACGTTGAGCAGAAATAACGTGAGCAGTTCAGGCGCACAATCCTAAAGTCCGTCTGCGGGGAATATTTATGCCCTCCGCAAAGCAATGTGTTGTTCCCCCCCTTTTTTTGGGGGGGGGGGGAAGAGAGAGACACGAATCCCTGCAAGATTTTGGATTTGCTGTGTAATTATCTTAATTTGTTCGGCAGCTTTATGCTAATGCACTACACAATAGGCGAGTCTTTCGCGTGCCTTTCGCGTGCCCTTCAATCTCTGGTCAAAAGGGAGATAAAAGCAATTCGTGTCAACAGAGACAGACGAGCCAAAACAACCCGAGACACACACATTGCACACTCAATTATTTAGCACAACAAAAGCGACACATCTCCACATATTTTATGCATAGCTTCTTCCTTCCCTCTGTGTGGGTGTGTGGGTGGGTGTGTGTGTGGGTGTGTGTTTTCTTTGCCTTCTCCTTCTCCCCGTCTCAGAGGCAGAGGCAGAGGCAGAGCACTCGCCGCACCAGTAAAAATTCTTAAATATTTTATTCGCTAAACAAAACGAAACAAAGCGCAAACCGCGTTAGAGGTTAACGATCGCACAAACTGAAATGACACATGGTTCGGTTTTTTTTTCCTGAAGAGAGCAGTGCGGTGGTGGACTTGGATGTCAGGGTGGGGGGGGGGGGGGGGGGGGGTGATACAGATCGTTTAGGATCTGGGGCAAGTTTCGCTTTGCAGACACTTGCAGCACTCGGTGCGCTGAATATTTTTGAGGGTAAATATTTCATTGAAGCAACATCGGATTTATTTAACAGTGAAACCCCGGACGGTGAACAGAAAGAGACGGGATCGGGGCAAAATGTGGGGAGTGGGCACCAACCGAAAGCCATCAGCTTCAGGGCAAGAAACCCTCACTTGCACCTCACCCCCCCCGACCCCCTCCCCCCCACACCCCAGTTCTTAAAGTGACTGAGCACATCGAAAAGAATCACAAACTTTTTTTTATTATACTTCGACAGTGTTCATGTGAGGTCTCTTATGAATCCACATTTAAATGAGAATGAGTCATCTGCTTGTGGGCACGAACAGCCGGAATGACTATTTGAGGCAAAGTGCTGCGTGAAACAAGGCAATGCGTGGCGTGGAGTAAGCGGGACCTGCGCGGGGTGTCTCTGCCTTATTGTGAAGGTAAAGTTAAACATCAACCCCACCGTCTGCAAATAGACCAGAGCCCTGGGGGGGGGTTCCTGCATTGCACCTATTTATTATTAATAAGAAACGAGCGTGTTTGGCCCTTTCAGCAGATGATGAATCTGAAAGCGGCTTCCTTTGGGGGGGGGGGGGGGGGGGGGGGAGGTGGTGAGGGGGTGTTGGGAGGTAGTGAGGGGGTGTTGGGGGGGTGTGGTGAGGGGGTGTTGGGAGGTGGTGAGGGGGTGTTAGGGGTGGTGAGGGGTGGTGGGGGGTGTTGGGGGGGGTGTGGTGAGGGGGTGTTGGGAGGTGGTGAGGGGGTGTTGGGGGGGGGTGGTGAGGGGGTGTTGGGTGGGGGTGGTGGGGGGTGTTGGGGGGGGTGTGGTGAGGGGGTGTTGGGAGGTGGTGAGGGGGTGTTGGGGGGGGGTGGTGAGGGGGTGTTGGGTGGGGGTGGTGAGGGGGTGTTGGTGGGGGTGGTGAGGGGGTGTTGGGGGGTTGGGGGTGGTGAGGGGTGTTGGGGGGTGGTGAGGGGTGTTGGGGGTGGTGAGGGGGTGTTGGGGGTGGTGAGGGGGTGTTGGGGGTGAGGGGGTGTTGGGGGGGTGGTGAGGGGTGTTGGGGGGGGGGGGGGTGGGGGGGGGGGGGTGGGGGGTGGTGAGGGGTGTTGGGGGGGGGTGGTGAGGGGGTGTTGGTGAGGGGGTGGTGGGGGGGTGTTGGGGGGGGGGGGGGTGGGGGGGTGAGGGGGTGTTGGGGGGTGTGGTGAGGGGGTGTTGGGGGGGGGGGTGAGGGGGGGGGGGGTGGTGAGGGGGTGTTGGGTGGGTGGGGGGGGGGGGGGGGGGTGGGGGGGGGGGGGGGGGGGGGGTGGGGGGGGTGAGGGGGTGTTGGGGGTGGTGGTGAGGGGGTGTTGGGGGGGGGGTGGTGAGGGGGGGTGGGGGGGGGGGGGGGGGGGGGGGGGGGGGGGGGGGTGTTGGGGGTGGTGGGGGGGTGTTGGGGGGGGTGGTGAGGGGGTGTTGGGGGGGATGGGGGGTGGGGGGGTGTGAGGGGTGTTGGGGGGGTGGGGGTGTGGGGGGGGGGGTGGTGAGGGGCTGTTGGGGGGGGTGTTGGCGTCTGTGTTAACAATGCCAAAACGCTTGGCATCCCGGCGCCTGTCTTCATTGTTCGGGCTCGTGTTTAAATGGACAGAGGTTAATTTTATTCACAAAAGGCCGGGGCACGACTGTGGAAGAGGTTTTGTGCTGCATCAGGACATCCATCAGCCTCCCCTCTCTTGTCTCTGTGTGAGTGTGTGTGTGGGGGGGGGGGGGGGGGTGTGCCGGCGTGTGTCGCTGCTCTGGGCGCTGATGGTTGGTGCGGGGTCGGCGGCTGCTGATGGACGGCTCCCAGTTGGCGGAGCCGCGGCCCCCGCCGGAGCCGCACAAAGAAGCGGCGCGTGTCGGGGTCTGGGAGGGGAGGTCTGGGAGGGGGGGGTCTGGGAGGGGAGGGGGGGGAGGGGGCCGCCCGGGCGTGTGGCATCAACCGGAGCAAACGTCCACCCACAGAAAACACGCTCACTCACACGCAAAGCAAAGCAAAATCCCTCCAACCCCCACCGCCCCCTCCTCTACATCTGCTCGCCTGCCAACCCCATCATTGTCAGCGTCCAGAGAGCATTCATTCGCCTGATGGTCCCAATCCCAGTTACAGGGCAGCAACCCAGAGCCTTCTTTCTTTCTTTTTTTCTCTTTCTTTTTTTTCTTTCTTTTTTTTAATCTTCCTTTCTTTCTGTCCACCAGAGTTGTACTTCGCTCACAATAAACGAGAACTTTTCAAATCAAACTATGCATCATCATCATCATCATCATCATAATAATAATAGTACCTGATGATAATGACGATGATCAGATCATCACAGAAATTCAAGAGTGCTTTTTTAAACTGTGCGTACATTTTCTTTTCGTGTTTCTGTGTCAGTGTTGTTGCATTATTTAAGCGGAAGTTACAGCTCTAACCTGGGAATCCGAGCACTGGGATCTCTGCAGACACTGCGCGTTGTTGCTGCGTTAAACTTTACAGTCACACATCCGCGCGTCCTTCTGCTCACACACACATTTCACAGCACTGAGAGTCAACTGCAGGGAAAGGTTCTCACTCCTTCATCAACTACGCTTTCTCCCCCCCCCCACCCCCCCACCCCCTACTCCCCCACCATCCCCCCAACCGGGGTGAACCCCCCCCCCCCCACACACACACACTAAAAGATAGTGGTCGTCTGATGGCTTCTGCTGGTCCGTGAGCTACAAGACAAAGCCATCAACAGGAGATCGAGTGCCTTTTTTTTGTGGAAAGACTCATCTTTCCCTTCGCAGCCATTCGCTCTTCCACATGTAATCATAAATGGGACTGAGTCGATAGGACCTGACCGTGTGCACTGTAAATGGGTTTGGAAGAGACTGGGACGAGAGATCCGTGTGTTTCGGAGTTACGAATCCATCATCCACCTTCCAAAATAAACCCACCCCGAATAAATACAGCGATGTTACTCTCGGGACGAGACACTGTGGCTTCTGTTGTTTAATTATAAATTACTCTGATCTACTCAAATATCCCACAATAATCGACATTTGCCTTGTGGGGGGGGGGGGGGGGTGTTTTTTTGTGTTTTAAACACGGTACCTATCTGCATTCAAACACTTGTTAAGCTTTTTCTCGTTTTTTTTAAAAAAATAACATTATATTTAAAAAAAGCTTTCATCACATCCCCCCCCTCCCTCTCTCCCCCCTCTCTCTCCAACCCCTGCCCCCCTCTCTCTGCCCCTCTCTCCCCCCTCTCTCTCTGCCCCTCTCTCCCCCCTCCCTCTCTCCCCCCTCCCTCTCTCCCTCTCTCTGCACCCCCCCCTCTCTTTGCCCCTCTCTCCCCCTCTCTCTCTCCCCCCTCCCTCTCCCCCCTCTCTCTCCCCCTCTCTCTCCACCCCCCCCCCCTCTCTTTACCCCTGTCTCCCCCCCCCTCTCTGCCCCTCTCTCCCCCCTCCCTCTCTCCCCCCTCTCTCCCCACTCCCTCTCTCCCCCTCTCTCCCCCCTCTCTCTCTGTCTCTCTCTCCCCCCTCCCTCTCTCCCCCTCTCTCCCCCCTCTCTCTCCACCACCCACCCCCCCTCTCTGCCCCTCTCCCCCCCCCCCCCTCTCTCTTGAGCTGGAGCTTTTCAATGGACCGAGGCTGCTGTTGCGGGCGCTGTGATTGGCGGGGCCCGAGCCGCCATCTGCGGGGACTGGGCGAGAACAATGAGCGCGACCCGCCTTAAAGAGGGGAGCGAGGGGCAGAGAGGCAGAGAGCCCAGACACACACCGCACCGCACGGCACCGCACAGGGACAGGGCGATGCCATGCACTGACACTCAGCACCGGGCTACAGGCAGCGGCACGTCGCTCCCGACTCCTCCAAAATAAAGGGATTGCTCCTCTCTCTCCACCCCCCCCCGACCTCACCCCCCCCCCCGCACCCCCCCACATACCCCCCCCTACCACCCCACCACACCCCCCACCAAAAACATCCACACTCCACCACCACCACCATCATCATCATCCATTCATCGCCTGCCACACGAACCCCCCACCCCGGAATCGTGGGGTTTTTCTGTTATTTTTTTTCTTCTTCCAAAAAGAAAGAACAACCATTCGAAGTGCCTTTTGCTTTTCAGTTTTTTTTTCTCCCACACCCCCCCCGCCCCAACCCCCCCCCCACCCCCACCACCACCACCAGCACCACCACCACCACCACGCCATCCACCTCCTCCCTTCTTCTTCTACTACTACCACTGTCCCAAAGATGCCAAGAGGATTCCTCGTGAAGAGAAACAAAAAATCCACGCCTGTTTCCTACAGGATCCGCAGCGAGGATGCATTTGATCAGACGCAGATGGTTCAGGTCCTGCAACAGCAGCAGCAACAACAACAACAACAGCAGCAACAACAACAACAACAGCAGCAGCAGCAACACCAACAGCAGCAGAAGCAGCAGCGGGAAGCGAGCCCTCACCCCGCTCAGCCCCCCGGCCCCGAGCCCATCAGCGGCATCGCTCCCAGCGCCGGACCCGCCGCTGTTGCCCTGGTTGGAGCCGTCGACCGTCTGACCAGCGACCCCCCCGGCGGCGGACCCCGGCAGTTCGGGACCCCGGACTCGGGCTACCACGCCCTGTACAGCCCCACGCGGCCGGTCAGCCAGGAGCACGAGAAGACCTTCTTCGAGAGGAGCTTTAACCTGGGGTCGCCGGTGTCGGCGGAGTCCTTCCCCAACCCGTCCGCCTTCACCGCCTTGGACCAGATCCTCTTTGCTCCGGCCGAGGTCAAGCTCGGCCCGGGCAGCTTCGCCTGCGCCGCCCCCCGGGGGGCCAAGAGACCCCACCCCGAGCCCCAGCCGCACGGCGAGCGCCGGAGCAAAGCCCAGGCGAAGAAACCCAAAGCCATCAGGAAGCTCAACTTCGAGGACGAGGTCACCACCTCTCCCGTCCTGGGTCTGAAGATCAAAGAGGGACCCGTCGAGCCGAAGCCCAGACCCGCCTCCGGGACGGGGAAGCCTTTGGGCGAATTCATCTGCCAGCTGTGCAAAGAAGAGTACATCGACCCCTTCTCCCTGGCCCAGCACAAGTGCTCCAGGATAGTCCGGGTCGAGTACAGGTGCCCCGAGTGCGACAAGGTCTTCAGCTGCCCGGCCAACCTGGCCTCCCATCGGCGTTGGCACAAGCCGCGGCCCCAGAACGGCAACGCGCCCCCGGCGCCGGGCGCGAAGGTCGCCCGAGCGGACACCAGCACCAGCACCACCAGCAGCACCACCAGCACCAGCACCAGCACCAAAGCCCTCGCCGGGGATCCGAAGGAGATCAGGAGGGAGAGCGCGGCCGACCGGGACACCCCCAGCCCCGGGTCGGCCCTCTCCGAGTCGGGCTCCGAGGACGGGCTGTACGAGTGCTACCAGTGCGGCAAGAAATTCAAACGCCAAGCCTACCTGAGGAAGCACCTGGTCGCTCATCAGGTCGTCCAGAGCGAGAGCCGCAAGACCTCCCGGGACCCGGGCGCCTATCCGTTTCTCGGCGAAGAAGTGGCCGAGAAACAACCATCGAAGGAGAGCCCCAGCCTCACCCCCCAACCCGCCCCCGCCCCCGCCCCCGCCCCAGCCCCAGCCCCAGCCCCAGCCCCGGGCTCCGGGCCGGGCTCCGAGTGTCACCTGTGCCAAGTGTGCGGGGAGAGCTTCTCCAGCAAAGGCAGTCAGGAGCGGCACCTCCGCCTGCACGCCTCCGAGGTATTTCCTTGCAAATATTGCCCTGCCACCTTCTACAGCTCCCCGGGACTCACCAGACACATCAACAAATGCCACCCTTCGGAAAACAGGCAAGTCATCCTACTGCAAATGCCAGTGCGACCCGCCTGTTAGACAAGAACGAGAGGAGAGAGAAAAAAAAGGGGGAAAAACCGTGCCTTTTATCAACACACCATTGCTAATGTAGCCACACACACACACACACACAAGTTTCATTCTAAACACCTTTCTCGTATGCCTTCATTTCACAGGGCTGCACGTTTCAGTCAAAAATAATAACAGCTTTAACATAGCTTGTGATTTGCTGGACACTGATGGATTTAAATTTGTCTGAACAAAGCAGAGCAGATAAAACATTCCTTTAGATTTAGCCGCAAATGCCTTGGCCGCTGACTGATCGTTTCAACAATGTAAATTGCCTTAATTTTTCGAAGCCTCCCACGTTTTTACTTAATATTTCTTAAATGGGTTTGTTGCATATAATTTTACGATTTGAATATATGTGTTGATTAATAAATGAATACATTTTATAATTTATTTGTTTTATTTATTTATAAAATTATTGCAATGATATCGTATTTCGTTATCTATTTGGATGTTTCGTGCGTTTTCGTTCAGTAAGTTATAACGTTCAGTTTTGTACAATTCAGACAGATCTTAATTTTGTAAACGCAAGTGTTCGAGTTTCTTTGAGTTGTTTTATCACAAATTTCTTGAATGGGATTTGAATTTAGTGCATTGATTCTGCTAAGCCTAAACCCAGAGCTTGTGTAAAGCTGACTGCTCTTAAGTAGATGCAATCCCTTTTTCTACACAGGTTATTTTCTTAACTGTTAGCTTTTATATAGTGGTTCAAAATGTACGTTTCCAACTGTGTTTGTTACTGAATATTTAAATATATTAAATACGTATAAATTATCTGTAGCCTCGTGTCTATCCTTCTTACAGTTTGTAAGTATGACCACAGCAATTCTGCATAACACAAGAGTATGGAGGTTACAGGTGTCCCTCGAAGTCTCGCTGCCTATTTCTATAATAAACGCAGGACATTTTGTCCAATGAATACCCCACTTTTATGTTAACAGTGTAACGTTTCAGCACTAAACTGTACTTAAGAAAGATTCAGTGAAAGGCAGTGAGATACGAAGGCAGACGTCAAACCTCGCATCCTGCGACATACCAATAATTACAATAACAGTATTAAAAGTAATATGGTGCTATAGTTACTATGGTAGAAGCATCAATTCCGTTTATAAAAATAAAAAAGAAAGGGCATTTAAATAGATTAGCTCTTACATTAGTATTTTCATACATCAACTTAATGACAGTGGGTATTGTTTGTAGGAACTTTTTAAAAAAAATCTCAAAATTTAAAAAAATGGATTTGCTATGAAACCAGAGTGAAATCCAGTAGTTCATCGCAAATCCCATTCACAGTCTCCTAACGTTCACCGTTCAGTCCCTTGCCCTGGGGGGGGGAATGTTGCTTCAACAGAATCCTATCAATCCAAACAATTTTAGCAGATAATGAAAGACTTTTCAACCGTTCAAAGACACAAGATATTCCCATCTTGGAAGATCCATCAGCACTTTTATTATTTTTTGTGTGTTATACTTAAATTAAGCCAATTCTCCCACTGGCTGGTTGAAGTTGTTGGCATTCCCCTGCAAGGAACAAATGCCATACCCATCCTCTGTAACTAACAAAGAGAATACAACTTACAAAAGCAACGTCTCCATCGCTGATTACAATATGTCCTCGGATTGATTCACTGGCCAATGCCCCTGAGACATCACTGACTGCACCCTGACCCACTCAGCACAGCTGCTCTCAACAGCCCTTTTACGGCATATACACAAATACACTGTTTAGTTATTTAAAAGTTGAAGAGGTAAAACCACACCTCATCTATATTTGCCTCACGATAGAATAACCCACAGCACAAAGGAGGGATGCCACAAAAACCGTAACACAGCGCATGAATTTTAATGAAAACCATCAATTAATTATAAATCTCCACACTGCTGGTGTGAACTGGACTTGGCTTTCTGTCGATCGTTTCAAATGTAAAACCTAGACCACACGATTCTGCCACTGCAATAGCGATCAGTAAAGGGCCATTTTACTGGGTGGAAACTTCGCCAAATGATATCTTTCGCGTGGAATATCTTAAGCGTTTGCCATTGAGTTGAATCACAAAGAGACAAGTTACGCATAATGTTTCCCGATATTGAGTTACGACACTTCAGAGCCGTCGTTACTATCAGTATATCGTTAAAACGTTAGAATTATCATTGCAACATCTTGGTCACTTTCGTCAGTCTGTGGATTTTGCTGAATAATTTTGCTGTGCAACAAGCGCTGTTTGCATGACTCAAGGCACCGGGTTGTCACTGAGCTACACCATCCCCTAGAGACAGGCAATGCAGCTTCAAATGGAAACTATCGCTCTGTCATCCCATCTAACTTAGTCTAAACCTCCATAACGCTAAACACAAAGCAAAGCTATTCAGATCAGTGATATATATATATATATTTTTAAAAACAAGCGAGAGCAGGAATGACGGTATATATTCGGAGACAGAAAAAAAAACTGATTTGAATTCAGTGTCCGATTAGATAACTGAATGTTTTGGTTATATAGGTGATGAGTATTTGTTCTCAAACTCCTACATTATAATTTCATATACGAGTGTTTTATATATATAGTGTATAAAAACACAACCACATCTAAGTGCAGTGTATCGAAATACAGGGTCAATTGTATTTTCCGAATCAGGCGACTAATAAGTTTTCAAACAATATCAATTGGGAATTAAATTGTGTCCACTTGTTGATGTGCTCCAGTCATAGAAAAAAGTTCTGTAACATCAGTAAATGAAATCTATATTTGAACTGAACAGCTATACCTGTATGTAAGACATGATTCCGATCTGAAATAAGCGATTGCTTGTTTTAGGATGATCCTTGCCAGGAATATTCTGTCCAGAACAGAGACACGATTAGCTGAAACTCAAGAAACACTGATAACCATCACGCCTTTTACAATAGTCAACTTTTCCTTTTGCAACTGTCGTCTGTTCATTTTAAAATCTTTCAAAAGAGCACAAAACAGTCGGGGATACATTTCGTTTCCATGTGTTGCATCCAGTTACATCCATCAGAACAGGCAACTTGGACCTCGTTTGACAAAATGATGTGCATCTTGGCTTCAATCCTATCGGTGGCTATTTCGAACAGTTACCTACTTCACATCAGTAACTGTAAGGATGGTTGGGGGGAAAGAAAGCGAGATTGGAAGTTGTTAGGGAGTAGAGGTGGGCATTTGAACTTGTATATGGCTCACACTATACCTGGTCAGTGAATGATTGATGCCTACACTGGCTTCCCAAAGCGGAAACATCTTCCATTCTCTTTTGTGAACATCCTTAACATTGACAGGCACACAAAAAACACGAACAGCTTAGAAACTTTGAGCCAAAGTGCCACATAGTTGTCCCATAAATTACATGGTTGCCTGCACTAAATGAAACGATCACAAAGGAGAAAGAGGCTGACATCACACACAATTATGCACGCAACTTTAATGGTCACATACGGATCTCCACATAGAAATCTGCAAACATTTTCTATATTGTTGCATCATACCACTATATATATATATATGTGAATATATATATTATATATATATACATACATAGAGAGAGAGGGGGAACATTTCCCAATACTTCATGGAATAGGAGCGGTTAGGAAACAGCTGCAGTAATGAATGAACCAGATTGCGACCTTCAATAAATGTTATTGACACAAGGAGAATGTCAGATTACAGTGTTTGTTCACACAGCTTCTCATCTCCTTGTTCGGCCGCTGTTCTAAATTTCACCATTCAGCAGGTTGATTTATTTAGTGTTTTATTAATTTATCTCATTTAATATACATTATTTTATCCTTCGATTGTTTTAGGAATTGATTTTGACACATATGATATATGACTCAGCCTAAACCCTTCTTTTTCTTGACATTTTATGAGGAGGAATTAAGTTACAAAGTTCATTTAAAACAAGATTGGAACTGCTGACGATCTATTCGTTTTAAATCAATTTACCCACTCGGGTGGAAGTTTAGCTCTTGTGAAAATGGGCCCTTTGCACATTGATCAGCAGCACATACTAACTTTAAAAATCAAATTCAGATTTATTTGATGCTTATCGTTGAAGTGAATAGAATTCCAAAAAAAATTACTACAAAAATGTGATGAGGATATATTGAGTGTTTTTCATACCTGGCATCACTCTCCACTGTGAGGACTGGGGGCACTTGCTCTCACTCATCATACAGACCAAATACAGCATTCCTACTCTGACTGTTAATCTTTGCGATTCAGTTTGCTTACTGTGTTCTATTTTTTCACTTTTTAGTTTACAAATATTAATTTGTGACAGTTCCTAATGGTAATGCTGAACCCCAAACTCTGCCAAAGTCCAGCAACAAAAACCCACAAATAAAATGCCAGGTTTTCTACAATGGGCAGCATCCATCAAACACTGGGGAAGCAAAAATAGTGAAGTGTGGTGCTGTTATTTTGTGCCAAGATCAGCTAAATTTACTATAGTTGTTTACTGTATAGAAGGTGTAACAATATATTAACTGTTAAAAAGCAAAGCTTTAATGGCAAAGCACTTTGAGTGGGGTAGGCATCTGTGGATATTTTCTTGTGGTATGGTACAGAAGGTTGAATATGTCACGGATATGGGACCAGGTACAAAGGGAATCTTTAAATTAGAGCTAAATTGATAAATGAGAAAACATAACTATGCACAGAAGGTGGTGAAAGGCTTTAAAGGAAGAATCATTTAAGATGCTTAAAAGAGTGCCAAATATTTTGGAAGTATGATTTCATAAATTGTCCTAACAGGATGAAGGGCTACCTTCTGCACCTATACTGTATTGCTAAGAGCAATGACTCGAAGGAGCAGGGTGAGGTTTGTGACCATGTGCTTTGTGTTATCTGTGAAAGACCTGTTGGACTAAATGGCCTTTGGTTGATGTGGTGGAGTGGGGCTTCCATTACGAGAAATCCTTGTTCACTCACTTCGCAGATTTCAATAGGGACCGTAATGAAAACCTAGACACAGTCCAACACATAAATTCCGTCAGTCAACCGATTTGTCTCATCCTTTATTCTGTTACTGTATTTTCAA